CATGTTCCGCGGATTGGGCGTTATCGGCGCTTGCTTGCTGCTCGAGCCTTTGTGCCCATTTCCCACCTCGGGCACCAAACATCGCTTGCGTCGCCCAGCCAGTGGCGGAGGCAGGGAAAGAAAAACAAATCTGGTGAGGCGCGGCCCTGCTTCGTGCTGGCGTGGGCCTGCGATATTGAGCTCGTCGGGTCCAACGCATCCATGCTCTCTGGCTTTAAGCTCTCGCGCAGCCAGGTATCCACACTGGAGTTCGTCGAGTCCCTGCGATGTCCAGGTCTGTACCTCGGCGCCTCGGCGCCCCAGCTACTGCCATCGCGGGTACGGGGGTTGGACAATTCAGCCGCTGGGCGTGGCGTGCGAGTTTCAGGCGTGGCCAAGGCGGCGTGAGGGGAGCCGCCGGTGACATGGAGGTGTCTTCGACTGTCAAATGCCGCGGAGGATGCGCGCTCAGCTCCCCGCGACGGCGATTTTTGTTCGTCGTGACCGGATGTTCTCGACGTGTTCGCTTCGGCTAGGCACAAGAACCCCCGCTCATTTTCGGGACTCTGGTCCTTTGGCGGTGTCTCGTTCCGAGAAAGCGTGGTGGTAGAAAGTGTGTCCGGCGTCGGGGGCAGTGCTTGCGGGTGACTGCTGAATTGGCCCTGGGTGTACACTCGCTCAAGAGCCTCTCGTTTCTCTTGTTTCGTTCGTGGCTGGCCATTAGGAAGAGGTGGTCGGGCAAAAGGTGATGCTTGGTTGCTCGCGGTCGGCGGCCTCGGCGAATCACCCACGGTCGCGCGCGCGAGCTTGGTCTTTCCCAGCTGATGATGAGGCGATGGTGCGACTTCCAAGACGTCGCCAATGTTGTGGAACTGCCCGCTAGTGGCGCGTGAGCTACTCGGCCGCTGCTGTCTCGATGGTGTCGAAGTCCTCGCCCTGGTCGGGGAATCAAGGGCTGGGATGGGGGTTTTGGATAACCTGTCCCCTTGCCAAGGACTATTGCCGGGCGGTGAAGAATGGTTTACAGGCCGGCTGCGACCGTAGATGCTTATGAACGAACTTTCACTGAGCTCACTTAGCGCGGGGCTAGCTAGTCTAGGGTCGATACGTGCCGTGTCAGGTGTATCGTCGGCTAGGCGGGGCAAAGTCAGGGCGCTGTCCCCGGCAAGATTGCCGAGATACACACTCCTAAGGTTCTCAGTAGTTTCGCTCCGGTCAGAAACGAAACTCGGCATGCGAACGGGTGTCTTGGCGTCGGCATACGATGAGGGACCGAGCCGCGGGTTCTTGGACGATGGAGTGACGGCAGGCGACTCGACACGAGGGTACGCGGGCGCTTCGGCCTCGACCTGGCGCACCATGTTCCTCTCCATAAGGAGCTGCTCGACACGTTTCTCCAACATGAGGATCATCCCTATCGCCTCCTCGACAGCCTTGTCGCGTTTCTCCAGCTCTTGCACCAGCGAGTCATTGAGGTCATCCCGGTCCTTTGCTTCCCGTTCCAGGGCATCCAGGCGCTCTTCCAACGCTGTTTGTCTCTCTCTCCGGTGGTAAAGTTCAAGCTTGAGGTCGAAATTCTGCTTGTGTAACGTGGATACAGTTTGCTCCATCTCCTTGACGCCCATACCCTTCTTTGCCTTTGTGGGATCGACACCTCCACTCGACCCAGGCCGGTGGTGGCTACTGGTGGGGGAAGGGCTCCGCACATGTCTGGAGCCGGCCGAGGAAGAGAGCATGTCGGTGCTCGACTGAGAGGAGACCCTGCCGTTTTCGATGCGGCGTGATCGTTGCAGCCTTTCGAGTAAAAGGGGCGACATGGAATAGACGGGTGAAGATTTGGGATGCTCCGTCGGTTCTGTGTGGTGCGACTTACTGCCGGTCCTGAGTGGTGCCCCGTAACCGTCCATCTCGGCGAGGCGGTGGACTCGGCGAGGGGAATGGGGATTGGTCGGGTGGGTTGAGTCGAAAAACTAAGGGGCGGGAAGAATGAGATAGGGAACGTCGACAATCCAGGAATTGACGGTCTACAGAAAGCACTCAACGCAGCAGCCAGCATTCCATCGCGTTGGTTCGCCGTCGTGCTTGTGGGGAAGAGCTGCAATTGGCGTGGGGAACTGGCCAAAGTGGTTGCAGGAAGATTGCTGAGCTCCATGCGTGACTAGAACCCAAAAGGGCTAGCTTCAGCGGGAGGCAACAGTTGTGTGTGTGGGCCCTTGAAGTGCCAGAACTGCCATGCCAGGCGGACCCTGGGACTTCTTGCTCTTTAGTCGACCAAAGAATTCAACATCATCCATCCATTCCATGACCATGGAGACTGTTGGTCAATTGGAATCGCGCCCATTCACCTGCCATGCTGGATAGTGACGAACAGACATCTCCAAGATTCGCGAGTTTTTTTTCCCCTGCGCCTCCAAACATTTTCCTTTTGGTCCTGGTCCCAACCTCTCACAGGCCACTTCACACGCCTGTTTCCAGCAAGGGACGCATGTGCCTACCAATCAACGGGCCCATCACCCGCACCCAGCATGCTGGAATTGATTCCGAATGCAACCATCACTCAGGGGACCCTGAATCGTGGGGTCTGCAACAGAAAGGGGTCCAATCCCCGATTCGTCCCCCATTCGTGATATCCAGGCCCAACACTCCCGGTGATCGAGAGGAACGAATACCACGCAACTCAGAAAAGTAAGGGATGTGAAGGCTTCGGAATTGAGAGCCATCGTGTGTTGGCTGGACATCAGGCAATATCCCTCCCTTGCTTCAACAAACGTCGTCATCATCGCCCAAGTTTCCATACGGCCCCTCCCCACCAACGATTCTGTGAACCTCTTCTTGTTGGCCACCATCCATCCCCGCCATGGGCAAAATGAAACGGGCGACTGGCCGCCAAACCATTGTTTGTTGTAGTTTTCTCTGCTCGTTTAGTCACCTCCGATGTCGACGGTTTTATCCTTTGCCTTCAGTCGGCAATCGGTTGGCCATCAGCATCCCGTGCCCTGCAGAAAAGCCCCCAACTCGTTGAGGCGGTCAGACATCCCTGAATCCCGACATGCCATGGGCAAAAAGGCTCAACTCCAAATGCAGATGCCGACCAACCCCTTGACGACGAACAGGACCAAACAAGAGACACCCGGAAGCTTAACGAAACTGTGTTCTGCTCCATTTGCTTCATTTTTCTCGATTTATTTCGTTTGACTCTGTTTTCGCTCGTTCATCTTTACTTCTTTCAGGCCCTCCTGGACTTCCCACTTTCCTTCGAGTTCAGCCTTTTCCTTTTTTTTTTTTTTTTTGTTGGGGGCCACAGAGGATACCCAGCCAAGTTGGCTTCGCAGCAATACGCCAGAGCCCAAACTCCCCTGGAATACTCGTTTTGAGACACGTTGGCTTCGTTTAGCCATCGAGCAAAGCTGCTGGCTTAGTGCAGCACGAAATCATCCAAAGGAGACCCCTTCCCGGCCGGCTCGCTCCGCATCTTGTCTCTGACCACGTTCCTTGTCAGTTCCATCAGGGCGTCAGCCAATTCCTCGCTTTGCGACAGCTCGCTCCCCGCCTCTGGAATGGCGGGTGCGCAGATGTACTGGCCCGATTTGTCCGCCATGGTCACAGCAAAGACCGTGGGGACGGCGCCCTCAAACTGGTCTTTCTTGAACGGTTCAAGGCCATGGGACATAGCCCAACCGCCAAGTGGAAACCTGTGAAGGGGGCATTAGCAGACCATTTGCAAGATTAGAGAACCACGGTCACCTACGCCTCAAAGATGTCCGTCCTGCTCTGCTTGGAACTCACAAACCCCGGGTGCGTAGCGTTCATCAGCACATTCGGGTGCCCGTTCCTGGTCACTTTGCGGTCGAAATACCGCGCGTATAAGATCGCCGCCAGCTTGCTCCGCCCGTACTGCTCATTCGGTCCCAGGTCCTTGTTGATCTCGTCGAGGCTGGCGAACTTGGTGTTGCTGGGTACCTTGGTGTGCATGTTGCTAGCCTGGTTGCTGATGCGGACAACGTTGCCTTGTTTGGCAGTCTCCTTCATCAGCGGCAACAGATAGCTCGTTAGGATGACGTGGCCCATGTGATTAACGGCTATGTGCCGATCAACGCCGTACGAAGTCAACTCGGCCGTCATGATGCCCCGCGCAGCGTTGTTGACGAGAATGTCGAGCCGGTCCGTATCGTGCTTGATGGCTTCGGCCACCTGTTTGACGCGAGGCCAGTCGCTGAGATCACACTGCATCCAAACGGTCCGATCGGCTTTATCTTGGCCCAGCTCCTTGGCCACGGCGTCTTTCGCGCCCTCAACGACTTCCTTGGACACAGAAAGAATGTACAGCTTAGCGATGTTGTGCTTTAACAGCGTGTACGCAACCCCAAAGCCGATGCCTTCGCTGCCCCCGGTGATGACGGCTACTTTCCCCGAGAGGTCCGGGCAGTCATCCAATTTGAATTGGTGAGAGCCCAGCTTTGAGGCCGGGCCGCCAAAGTTCTCGGAAATGGTGTTCTAAGGAATAATCAACACCTTATCTGCGCCGTACCCTGTGAATGCGAGTGTACCTTGATCTCCTGCATCTTCGGAACGGCCCCAGGGAAGCGCCGTGTTGCCGAAAAGGATCGTCTCACGAAGGGGTCGTTTAAGTGCGCAATGGATAGTACGGTCACTGACTCGAGGCTTCTTATCATTGACGGAGCCGTCCCAGGGCGGATGTACCTCGTAGGTAACTGGCAGGCCATCGAATTAAAATCGATGATGGATGCAAGATTGAAGTTTGAGAATACCTGCCAGAGAACCGGGAGTGGGTCATCAATTAAAGCAAGCTTGTATTGAACGATGACGTCTCCATGACCACCAGAATGCCATCATTTCGCCACTCGCCAACCGTGAATCACAACAGCCACCTTGTTGCAACCTATCAAAACACAAACGAAGGGGTAACTGAAACCTAGTGAGAGAAGGGCTTATGTTACTAGGTAAGGTACATGTACCGATGCGGCAAACCTTCTTAAACATCAGGACCCAAAGTCTGGCAACACCAACGTCTGTTTGGTGAGCTCATATTGGGGATGTCTGGCACTCATTGTTCCCAGCATTTACATGATCGAGGTTAGAAACCTTGCAACCTGCCCCGGTCCGATCACGAGGAAGTAGTTCAGCGACAAAAGGAATAGGGGACGAGAAAGCAACTGTTCAGGAGACGAACGATGCCTATAAACAACAACCTGTCAATCAACTACCTTGTCCTGCCTTAGAAGGGTACGAATTTGGAAACGTGATGGTAATATTCTAGTTCTAATTAACGTGTTCTCTAGTTCGCAACGCCCAACCGCATCAACAGTCACCGGTCAACTCCTCTAGAATCTCGTCTATCTTGCCAAACGCGTCCAGGTCCTGGTTCTCCTTCTGCAGCCTGACCACCGTCTCCTTGAACCGGCCGTCGGCCAGCACTTTATCCACGGCGGCGCGGATGGCGTCCGGGCCGGGCTCCTGGGCGCGCAGGTTGACGGCGACGCCGGCCCACTCGGCGCGGGCGGACACCTCGGCCTTGTCGGCCATGGTGCCGGCCAGCACCATGGGCACGCCGTTCATGACGCCCTGCATGAAGCCGCCGTACCCGGCGTTGGACACGAACACGTCCGTGTGCGGCAGCACCGCCTCGTACTCCAGGTAGTCCACCACGAACGCGTTGCCCGGGAGCGCCGCCCGCGCCGCGCCCTCCAGCTCCGCGCCCCGGTCCCCGAGCGTCGCGATCACGAGCAGGTCCTTGCGTTCCGCGAGCCCGGCGAGGGCGGGCAGGATCAGCTCCGTGGGCTTGCGGTGCACGGTGCCCTGGCTGACGAAGACGACCTTCTTCTTGTCTGGGGAGTCGGCGGGCAAGGCGGCGTTGGCGGTGACAGTGGGCCACCTACGACGGGGGGACGAAGTGGGGGCCGAGGGGCTTTATGGGAAACCCGCCGATGAAGCGCAGCTTGGGGTCCTGGACGGGATACTCCAGACTTGCGGTGGTGGCTAGTAGGGTTACGTCGCCAAAGCCCATGGCGCGGCTTAAAATGGGTGTCGTCATGGCCTGGGTGGCGCCGAGGGATTTGTAAAGCGTGTTGTAATGCTCAGTCAGTTCCCCCATCGCTGGCTTCATTGCATCCGAGATGGACTGCCAGAGGGCTAGGTTTTCGGGGGTTGGGTCATAGGGCAGTCCAGGGCCGAAAGGCGGGAAGCTGGCGTCACCGGGAAGGTAGACGCTCGTGTGGAAGTTGATGATTTTGGGGAGAACGGTATACCCCTCTGGCAGGGGTGCGCCGTGCAGAAAGGGACCGAGGCCGCCCGAAAAGCTCTCGTGGAGTATAACGACATCGCGTTCAGGGTGGTTCCTGCGAACCTGCTCAAGCGTGTCCTTGAGCGCGCGATGGGCGAGCGGAGTTGAGTTGGCAAAGATGTTCTTGAAGTTCCACATCTCGTCGGAGTCAGGCGGTCTCGAAGCAAATACTTCCTCCCAGGACCACGGGTTTTCGACAAAATGAGCCCCTATTTTGTCGGTAGCGGCCTTGAAGTCGGCCCTGGTGATAAAGTATAGCTCGTGGCCTTTTTCGATGAGGTATTCCGAGATCCGCATGAGCCCTGCCGTATGGCCAGAGGCAGGGAAGGCTGCCGCCACAATGATGGGCTTTTCCTTGAGGACAGTCATTCTGACAGGGCAACAGGAGGGATGGGAAGTGATGAGATGGTGCGATGGTGAGATAGTGAGATAATGAGACAGTGAGATGATGAAAGCGCCCAAGAAATGCGTGGCCGGGAGGTTGACTTTTATGTCAACTTCCCCTGCTGAGGATCATGGCGCTGTTTACCGCTCGCCAGAATATGAGCCGCCCTGCTAGTCCATGCATATCTTGTGCTGACACACAGCCCGGGAACCCCCATCGCATTCTATTTTTTCGGCTGACATGGCAACTACACTACTGCAGCTAGGCTCCTAGGGTAGAAATCCGGTTCGGCCGAGACGGTCAAGGAAGTTTCCGGCCGCTGCCCTCGGGGCGCGGTCATATCACCGGGTCGGGTTAACAGTCTGGAGAAAGGTTACAACCGTTATGGGGGCCCTCTGTCCAGGATAGTGGTATTCAAGTCATCTCTAGGTAGTAATTGGTAATCTATGCTTTGTACGTGCAGAGATTTGTGCCCGAGTTAGGTTGCCAAGCCGCACGCAAGAAATCGAGAAATGGAAGTCAGCAGCAAGTTTGTGGAGCCGCCACCCACGCCGCACCGCGGACGCATCCTTCCAGGTTGCCACGTCCGACAGCATCACGCTGATTTGCGGGATGTTGAGTTGACGGCTCGTTTTCCAAGACCACGTTCCGACTTTGTGGTCCAAACAGGCAATCTGGATTCCAGGGGTTTTTGGAACTTGAAGGCAGGCATGTGGGAGATGAACTTGGCGGCGTCGGGTAGGTAAGTTGTAACCGAAAACGGCGCTGCCAAGACCTTTTTATGTGGCGCAAGTCAAGTTTAATGGTTTCACGGATCGAGACGCGTCAACCGCGTTTCCCTGCAGCCGCATCAACGTCTCCTCGACAACAGCTCTCCATCACCAGCCGCCAAGTTTAAAAAAACCAACCCCAAAGATCGCCAGAACCGCCACAATGTCCGACTTTGACGATGAGATGGACGTTGATGTCCCTGCATCTAAAGACATCAAATTCTCTTCCGACGGTGCATCCAAAGGCAAGCGCAGCGCCGCAAACCTCCCCGTCGAGGCCGAGGACAGCCTGCCATGGTTAGTATGCTGCAAAATCGATGTCACGCGCTGGTAATAACTTATGACGACAAAGGGTTGAGAAATATCGCCCAGTGTCCCTCGCGGACGTATCGGGCCACCAAGACATCCTCGCAACCATCAACAAGTTCGTCGACTCTAACCGATTACCCCACCTCCTCCTCTACGGCCCCCCTGGCACCGGCAAGACCTCGACCATTCTCGCCCTCGCCCGCCGCATTTATGGCTCGGAGAACATGCGGCAGATGGTGCTGGAACTCAACGCCTCCGATGACCGCGGTATTGATGTCGTGCGCGAGCAGATCAAGACTTTTGCCTCAACCAAGCAAATATTCACAATGGGCGCCTCAGCGTCGCGGACGGGTATCGCGGGGTTCAAGCTCATCATCCTCGACGAAGCCGACGCAATGACAAACACGGCACAGATGGCTCTCCGCCGAATTATGGAGAAATACACTGCCAACACCCGGTTTTGCATCATCGCCAACTACTCCCACAAACTTAGTCCCGCCCTGCTGTCACGGTGTACACGGTTCCGCTTCAGCCCCCTCAAAGAGCAGGATATCCGGGTTCTGGTGGATAAGGTGATCGAGGAGGAAACCGTCAAGATCATTCCCGAGGCGACCGAGGCCCTGGTGCGGTTGAGCAAAGGCGACATGCGTCGGGCGCTGAATGTGTTACAGGCTTGCCACGCGTCAAGTATGATTCACACTCCCATTTGATCCCATCTCATACTAATGTGGGTGACAGGCACACCTTTACAACCCCGCGATGCTCCCAAGATACCAGAGAAGGACATCGTCCGCGAAACCATCACAACACAGACCATCTACAACTGCGTCGCCGCGCCGCCGCCAGATGCCATCAAGAAGATTCTCGGCACCTTGCTGAGCACGAGTGACGTTACATCATGCCTGTCGACCATCAACACACTCAAGGTGGCCCAGGGGCTGGCGCTCGCAGACATCATCACAGCATTGTCAGATGAGTTGACCAAGTTGGAAGTGAAGCCGCAGGTCATGATTACCTGGCTGGAGAAGCTTGCTGAGGTTGAGCATAGGGTATCGAGTGGGTCAAACGAGGCGATTCAGACATCTGCTGTGGTGGGAGCGATACGAAACGGTGTTGAGTTGATGGGTTGAGGGAATCTCGCATCCCTAACTAATACTGTGTAGAGAGGGAGTGTGTATCAGAAACTTTTTTCTCAACCACCGCACATATGATATCCCCGATTAAGCCTCGATGTCATGATGGAAGTAAGTTCTCAAATTAATGCCCCGCAACGGTGGAGTGATATATGTCCAGAGTTCTGTTTGAACGATCTAAAACTCTATTATTTGTCTATGATGATATGATTACCAAATCCTTCGAAACACTAGAGCACTCGTCCCTCTCAAGAAGCAAGCTCGAGTACATTAGGTGTATGAGTTCTCGCCTCGCTCGACGCCGCTGGCCCTTTTGCGGCATATTTCCTCCCACGACCGGGCCCCCACATAATCAAATCTCGCGCCCTCTCCAGTCCATTCCCGATGTATCTCAGTGTCGACCCAACTCGAGCTTGGGCCTGTTGGCACTTCGGTTCCCTGCCATCCGTGCTGTTGCGCCAAGAGCGAAAGTGCTTCCTCGCTCATGAGGTTAGTACGCCGGGTGCCCCAGTAGGATTCCGAGAGTCCGGTCTTGGTCCGAAAGCAGTCAGCTCACGCTCCTCCAGTTTCATGACGAAACGGACCGCCGTATCGAGGCTAGTTTCCACGACTTTGACGGAGTCATCAGTCTGGTGGTGGGCGATAATCTCATCTGCGATGCTCTTCAACGTGATTGGCGCCCTCAAACCCTCCTCGACCCCCGTAAGGACGAGTAAAACACGCATTTCCGAGATTGGTGATGACAGGGCCGAAACCGTGTAAGCCCGCCGCCCCAGAGCACAACGGCTACGGCTTGGAAGAGTGTCTGCAGCACAAGATATCTCTGTTCGTGGACCATCTCCCAGTCGTAGATACCGATCTCCTTCGCTAGCTCCAACATCTCGTTGAGGGGCGTTGCGCCATGGAAACGGTCGCCGATCTTGCGCTGGGTGGCTTCGGTATGGGCGTAGATAGCACGGCTCAATGTCGCTGCGAAATGTGCTACCTCGGTCGGAGAATCAGTGGCGAGAGATGCTGGGGGGGGAGGGATGGCTATCACTTGGGCGATAAACTGCCCTCAGTCAATCTCGCTTCGGTACGGTCGAAACCTATGACGTGTTAACAAACTTCTTCTATGGTAGCTGGAATGTTCGGTTCTTGGCCAGCTCAGTAAGAGCCAAGGATGCAAGCGGGCACAGGGGAGCGGAGGACGGAGGAACGACGACACATGTCTCGGATGCATATCATGTGTTCTAAAGGTAGTTGTGGAGCACCGCGAATAGTAGATCCAGGTGCTGATGCGAGATCGCGTTCCACTTGTTAAGCAGGATATAGATAGGCATCGACTTGTTGCAGCAGCTCTCAATCTCGCACATCCCCATACTAGATATCTTGTCGAGGGAAATACGGGGAGGCCCTTGGAACCTGACTGAATACCGGACTATTGTTTCTCGGTGACGCCATTCAAGTTGGGAGCGAAGGATATGATGGAGTTCGTGCCGCGGGACTCGAGAGGGCTGCTTGTTTTCGGTTTCGGGTTGTTGCGCATCGTTTTTGCGGCTGGATTGTGGGCTGGCAGCTCGGTTTTGGCGTCGTTTTGCCATTTCGCGCGAAAGCTTCGTCTGCTCTACAAATTGCCCGGTTTTCTATAAAGGCTTATTGAGGTGAATAGTGAACTTGAATAAATATTCGGGTTAGTTATAACTTTTTTTTTTTTTTTCGATCCTTTGAGACTCGAATTTCTAAATTCTCTCTTGAAGAGAATGATACATATATATATTTTCATACACCGCTGTGCCCTCGGGCGTGCCGGAACTTCTACAGATTTTTGGCTACATAGGAAACCGTGCCCAAGGGCCGGATGAAAACCTACGTACTATACTAAGGTCCTTCAAATCAGATTCCTTCATACTACTGATGTCCTGGCCTTCTCCAACCCCATCTGCCCCCTTTGTCGGGATGTGATTGGTTCCAGGGATGCCATCGATTCCTCCGTTTCCTTCCCTCTTTCCGTCTCCTCTGGCTTCAGTTCTCTTCCAGGGGGGCTCCCTGGCAGTATTCTGCTTGGCAGTTCTGCTTCTGCCCTGGGTCTTGTTTTCCGCCAGGGTCCCCAGCTCCCACGGCTCATGGTTTTTATCCTGCAGTGAGCTGCACAGGTTTTTGCCGATCGGTGTGCGACGCTAGGGGGCCCAGTCCCCATGTCTCCGAGACGACGGCTATTCCTCGGGGTTCCTTCCTGGTTAGTGTGACTCTTTCCAGAATTGCAGGGGACCAATCCTGATTGACTGGAAAGAGGGCGAGGGAGGCCGGATTCGAACCGACAGCCTTGTGGCTTCCAGGTGTAACACACTCCAACTACACCACTCCCCCAGAGAATGATACATTTGTAGGTCCAAGGATCGTATGTCACGATATGGTCGCATGCAGACGACTCGGCAATGGGAACCGGATCGAGAGCTGCAAACGCGATCCGAGGGTGGCCAATCAGGAATGGATCATTGAATCGAGAAGCGATCTAATGATCCAGGACGGATCGCAGGATCATGGAAATATTCTCGATCCAGGTACGGAGGTACCCAAAAATTAGCTAGTATATAGTCACCCGTTCTGGAGGACTCTGCGAGTTCTCCAGTTAGCAATCACAACTACAGTTCGCTACAAGCACGGAAGCCTACTGTTGAGACAAAGCTTTTGTTGTGCACCTTTTGGCTGCACCGAACCTAAGCACCCTTGAGAGATTACCTTCGACCGAAGCTGAACCCTAACAGGACAGGGTCCTGAAGTAGGTTCGTCACATCGTATCTATAACCGAATAGAGAATAGAGAATAGAGAATAGAGAATAGAGAATAGAGAATAGAGAATAGAGAATAGAGAATAGAGAATAGAGAATAGAGAATAGAGAATAGAGAATAGAGAATAGAGAATAGAGAATAGAGAATAGAGAATAGAGAATAGAGAATAGAGAATAGAGAATAGAGAATAGAGAATAGAGAATAGAGAATAGAGAATAGAGAATAGAGAATAGAGAAGTTCTCAATGTGGTGGCGGGACAACCGCTCGACTCAGCCGCACCTTCTACATCTGTCACTCGACATCACAGCGGGCCTCGCCCTACCCTAAGCCCTAACGCTCATCGTGCCTTCCCCATGAGGAACGAGAAAGGGTGACACACGTCCCATCATCATTTTCCCTCGCAAGTTCTCCTACCGAGCTAGGTAACTAGACAACGTCATCATCACATCACACCCTAGTCAGACCCTGAAGTAACTAGCAAGATTTCATCATGTCAAAACGAACCTCATCCGTTCAGGACATGTCGCCGGCACCATCATCATCCACTCGGCGTAACACAAAGCGCCGGAAGACGATCATCGATCCAAGTAGCGAAGATGAAACTTCGCTACATCCATTCAAACTCGATTCTGACTCAGACTCTCACTCACTCGTAGAGTCGGTGGTGGACGAAGACTCAGACGCTGAAGAGGATGAAGCAACAGAGTCCGAGAGCGAGCTGACAGAAGACGAGGATGTCACATTCTGTCAACTGCAGCAAGATAACGACAACGGCAACGACGACGATATCACCAGATTTAACGCACGTATAGTACACCTCATTCGGTGTATGTCAGAGTGGTGCCATTAGGGGAGGATGGCGGAGGGTTCAGGGGGCCAGGGGTGAGCGGCGTCAATTGGAGCGCACGCTACAAGTGATCGAGGAAGCATGGTGGCTAGGAAGGCCGGTGGGTTTGGTAACCAAATCCAAGAAAGGAAGCAACTGGCGGGATGAAGGGTGTGCAAATGGAAATTGTTTGCCCTGGCCAAAGGACGGGGAACGGTTTAAACGTGCGGTTGGGGCGAAAACTTGAAGGCTTTGGGGCAAAACGGCGATGCCCGGCATGCTACGTGTACGTATTACATGTATTTATGCGCGCAACCACAAGCGCCGAGGAGAACATTGAAGCCGGCGGAGGTTATTCCGGCACGTTTCCCGACAATCTTTCCTGAACCCGGAGATGCACCCTACACATTGGTTTTTGATAGTTTGGAGGGTGAGATTAATTTTCTCGAGTCCTGTTTAAAAAGGAGCTGGATGGTTGCCTCAGGCCAAACTTGATGTTCGACTCGGAGGAGTTGGGCTGATGATGTGTACATTTTATGAGCATGAAAGCTAGAGGAAGCCGTGTCGAAAAATGCGTTGAGCATTGTCAAGAGAAGAGAGTAGGGCTGTTGTTATTCTACTGTTCCTCCTCCCCCTTCGGAACTTAAGGAACTTTAAGCCCTCCTGTCAGCTACAACCATAGCGGTTAATCCAAGATCAAAACTTCCTCCTTAACTAACCGAAACAAAACATCCATCATTACATCCTGTTGCCGACTGAAAAACAACAACGACAATAACAACATACACAACAACAACAACCTCACAATCCCAGGACTCCTACCACCGCCGCAGCTGCAACCACCCCCCAAACTCCCACAACAACACCATCCGCACCCCCAGTAACAACCCCACCCGTCACGGTCGGCCTCGCCCCGCCAGCAGTGACAACCGTCCCGTTCCCGCCGCCGACCACCGGACAGCCAACACACCCCGCCGTGGGCAGCGCCGCCACCAGCGTCGTGGCCTTGGCGCCGCCATTACCGCCGCTACCGCCGCCTCCGGGTCCGCACTGCACGCAGACGCTCGGCCCGGCCGCCCCCGGCGTGCAGCCCGGCACGTTGTGCGCCGTGGTGCGCTGCGCGGGCGGCAGCGGCGAGACCGTCACGGTCAGGGTGTGCGGCGGCGGGCAGGCTGATGATGGGGAGGAGCCGGGACCGGAGCCGGCGCAAGGCTGGGTTTGGTGGATGGTGTAGGTGCCTGTTGTCTCGGGGCAGATGGCCGTGGTGGCTGTGATGATTTCGGTCGTGACGTGGTGCAGCGGGCAGTTAGTCACCGTGGGCGGGCAGGAGGTGATGATGTAGGTGGTGGAGGTGGTGGTGGTTATGGTGCTGCGGGAGATGGTGGAGGAGGAGGTGGTGGTGGTGGTGGAGCCGGGGGTCGTGGATGTGGCCGGGTTGGAGGAGGAGGCGGCTTCGGTGGTGGATGGCTCAAGGCCGCCGGTCGATGTGGCCGCCGTGATGGATGACTCGGTGTCGGTGGAAGAGCTGGAGTCTGAGGCGGTTGACGACTCTGAAACAGTCGACTCAGTGGTAGTCTCCGTGGCAGTCTCCGTGGCAGTCTCTGTGGCTGACTCGGTGATCGGCTCGGTCGAGGACTCGCTGGTAGTGGTCGAGGTTGTCTCAGGAGCAGCAGTGGTGGATGTCTCGGGCTCGGTATTTGAAGTCGACTCCGCAGACGAGGTGGTCGTGGAAGTCTCAGCCGTTGATGTCGAAGTTGGCGTTGTCTGACCACATTTACCGACAATGGACGGGACCGCATCAGGTCCGCTGCCGATGGCAACGAGCTCCGAGCCGCAGTCTTCGGACTGGCCCAGATGGATCATGCGGTTGTCCCAGTCATAGACGACGTACGCAGCGCGGAGGAATGTATCCCCCAGCACCGGGAAGTCTGTTGTCACGAACATCAGCGTCTGGTCTTACATCATCTCCCATCATCACTGGCCACACACTTACCATCGGTAAAAGCACCCAAGACGCAGAGGTCAGAGTCCGGAACGTGCCAGATAAAGTCGTAGTACCGCACGTTGATGACCTTGTCACCAAAGGTAAAGTCGAGAGAGCCGCCCTGGCCGGGATCCAGGCAGTCGACCACGTACATGTCGGCGTCGGCGACGTACTGAGCAGACGGGAAGGCTGCAACGAGGTTTTGCATGATGGGCGCGGGCAGGGCGCTGAGTGTGTATCCGCTGTCCAGCAAGAAAGGCTGACCCTTCCCGCCGGCTGGGGTGCTGTAAACGATTATCACGTTGCCGTCCGGCTGGTTGACCGAGATGCCGTTGGCGTAGACCCAGAACCGAGTGAGGCCATCGGGCGACTGCGCGGCGGGGATAATTGGACGCTTGACGAGGCTACCGGAGTACTTTTTCGTGTCGATGCCACCAAAGATTACCGATCCTATTTGGTTGAAGTGATCGTTAGCGATGCTGAAATAGGGGGCAATGTCATAGTAGTGGTGGACTTACCTCGTGCGCTGTCAAATCCCCTCAGATCCATGCTGAAGGCTCTGCTGTTGGTGAGCCCCTGCTGGGCAAGGGAGTCAACAACCAGGGGGTAACCGTTCTCCCATCCTTCGAGCGAAGGTCCAGCGCCCATGAGGCCGACGACGGCGTGGGCACTGTCGAACGCCACGCCGAAGATCTGCTGTGTAATCCTGGCCGCTGGAGGCATTTAGTGTTAGATCACACCCCCTCACCCAAACGCCATCGTACCAAGACACGGAAAGGTGAAACGTACATCCAATGCCGACGTAGTCAGCTACATACTCAAAATCAGTGTAGCCGGTTCCGTAGGTGACATGGCCCTGCACGCCAAGGTCCACCAAGGTGGAAGACTGGGTGAAGCGTGGCTGGGCCTTGCAAAAGTCGGGAGTGGTGGACTTGGAGCAAACGGGATTCACCCAAAGCTCGGAGGAGCCGGTGTCGAACTGGACAGGGACCGTTTGGCCGGGGGTGCCGAGGGTAACCTCAATGGTGTAGAGAGTTCCGGAGCGCTGAGCAAGACTGCCGGTATCAAACTGTCTCTTGGTGAAGTTGGAGTGTTTGCCAAAGATAGGACCCCCCTGCTTGGGGATCACGGGATATCGAATAAGGCCGTCTTGTTGAACCATTCGGTTGTCGTCAGGAATGGCCAAGGCAGCACTAAGTGCAACGGCGGGCAGGAGAGCCACGGTGTAACGAATGAACGACGACATGGTCAGTGAATGAATGAATGACTAACAAGCTAACAACGAATGACGAAATAAAAGAGTGACGAATCCGCCGCAGCAGACGACGGCTTTCTTGCCAAAGAAACGGTCTGGTGGATGGAAGAAAACGTCGAAGCTTGGCTCCCTCGGAGTCCCTCCTTGGGTTATATATGGGGTCCCCCTCGCGGCAGGGCTCCATTTGCTTCGATCCAGCCAACCCCCAACTCCATGCGGCTCAACCATTTTGGTCTTCAGCCGTGCGTGGACCCGCCATTGCGGAAATTGCTTGGTTTTGTAGCAGCCCAATCGCGGTGCTGCAGAAAAAGCCCGAACGCTTAATACTCAGCCGCAAGGGACTATTTGCGCCCCGTCCGAATATTGGCGACGCACGAGGCATAAACGACAAGGGGGAAAGGTGTGCCTCATTTGCACTGGTTGTGAACCTTTTGGAAACTCGGTGTGACAGGGCTGCAGCAAGCTATTTAACACCGCAGAGGCTGCCTTTTTGGGCGACAACTATCATGCAGAACCGCCTCTCGGGCTGCATCCTCTGTCCCGGCTGGTTGGTTTTCCGGCTCGTTGGTTTTGACCTCATGCAGGTACAATATCACACAAATTCCATCAAAACGGCTGGCCCAACAAGCGCCCAGTCAGGGGGGGGGGGGGGGGGGGCGCGTTTGTTTAACGGGGGGGGAATCCGCAAGCCCCATCCCCCCGGGGACCCCAACCCGATTGGATGGAAAAATCCAAACTTGCTGGGCCCCGAAAAACCTGGAAAAAATTTTCCTCTTTTTGGGGAAACCGACGGGGCATGGCCTGCTACACACACCCGCTTCCGTAATCGGGGGACGACTAGGGCAAGTGTATAACCGGCCATGGGACGGGAGAATTCTCGGGAAAAAGGTGCCGGAAACCCAATTGCCCTGAAACCCTTCAACACAGAGAGCGTTTTTACCGGGCTTGGGAGAAAAACGGCGGTGCAACAACTTGTTGGGTCTACCGCCGCAACCACGAGGGTGCGGAGCGGCCGGCAGAGCTGGTCAAGGCGGCACTGGAGCACAAAGAGAGCAGGGGTACGGGGTGTCCAAACCCCAACTGTATGAAGCCGGAGGAGGATGGGGGGGAATTTAGAGGGGCCGGAGACGAGCGGCGTTGTAGCGCATGCTACAAGTGGTCCAGAAAGCATGGGGGACACAAAGAGGAGCCCGGCTTCCTCCAAAAGTCATTGTTGGTTTCCCCCCAAGGACACCCAGTCAGCGTCGTGTAGGTCAGTATTGGGATTTGTAACGCCAGGGCGGCTTGCTAATTTTGGGAGGCGAGGTGTAGGTGTTTGCCCCTCACCAGGGCTAAAGTAGGTAGTGTCGGAATATCTACGCCAGAGTTACGTCCTCGCAGGGGGACGTGACGGAGGGCAGGGGGGGATCCACCGCTGGGGCAGTCGTCACGTGGTCCTGGACCTCGGGGACGACAACCCCGGCTGCAAAATCTGCCCCCCCCTCATTTCTAGATAGAAGAACATGATCCAATTGAACCACGAATGTAGCACGTCCCTCCAGAGAGAAGGGATTTGCCCTGTGCTTCTAACGCTATCGCGATACCTGGTATTCCCTACAGGTAGGTAGGGCCGTTCAACCGCCGCGCGACCATTACCACGACTGCGGCAAGAGCTCATGTCACCACAACTATGGCAGGGCCATTATCAGGACTGCGACGGGACCTCACCGCGACTACGGCAGAGCATTCAGCTGCGGCAGGGTAGCATACATCACTCTCCATGCCACCACGAGAGTAAACTACCAACCTTGCTCGCCGCTCTCATCCGGGTCCTCCCTCCACCCCCCAGCCATTGATCGAATCGTCCTTACATCTCGTCCCTCGCCCTCCCCTAATCGTGCCTACTTTTCTCGTCCAGTCCCTACACCATATAGCCCCCCTCCCCCCAGACCCCCCTTTACAGAATGAACCATTTTCCTCAGTATCTTTGCCCCCTTGCCTGCCCTGTAAAGCTGATTGTTTCATGCTTTTATGGTCTGTCTTACACGAATCGGATGGATGGATGGAATTTATTTCGCCCGGAGGCACTGGGCCTATAGGGCCTTAGCACGCTAACTACATCCGGATCCGGATCAAATCGTTTTGCCTTTAACTCGTACAAGCCCCCTACTTCTTCCCTCTTTTTCGCTGCACCATTTACCTCTTGCCTTCTTACACGAATCGATTCGGAATCGATTTAACCAAACCAGCCGGTCACGTGACACCTTGCCCTTATATATACCCAACTCGAGTTTCATCACACCTCTGAATTCCAATTCCCATTCCAAATCTTCCATCGAACGCTTGGAATCCAGATGTAAGTGCTGAATTACTTTCTATAATTACAACTAAACTGCTTGTGACGAACCTACTTCTGGACCCGGTCCTGTTAGGGTTCGGCTTCGGTCGAAGGTAATCTCTCAAGGGTGCTTAGGTTCGGTGCAGCCAAAAGGTGCACAACAAAGACTTGTCTCAACAGTAGGCTTCCGAGCTTGTAGCGAACTGTAGGTTGTGATTGCTAACTGGAGAACTCCCCTAGCTCTCCAGGACGAGTGACTATATACTAGCTGATTCCTAAGTGCTCAGTATGCTCAGTATGCCCTTGGCAACTGAGCTCACTGATCAATGTTGAGCCATCCCGGCTCCCTATTGGTGGTCCTGTCCTGGTGCTCAGTGTGCTCAGTCTGTCCTTGGCAACTGAGCTCACTGATCACCTTGACTCCTCCTTAGCCTCCTGATTGGTTGCTAATGATTGGTTCAGGGCGTCCCGCGCCCCCCCGGGTCCCTCCTGTTGGCATATTCGTGACACTGCTGAACTAATTTGTTAGCAGCGCGAAACACCAAACCAAACATCGTTACCAACTCACCAAACAACAACACTACGACAACAGCCAGCGCTGCTCAAAGATCAGATTGTAGATCAGATCTATCAATCCAGAGCAGTCCAGTCGATTCAGATCGGCCATTTCTTCAGATCAGTCGGATCAGATGAGGCACCTTACAAATCTGATAATGCTGATTGTTATCTTTACCTTAGGTACTTTTGGCCCTTGGTCAAGGCGCCGAATCCCTTCATTTTGAGTGTTAATGGTGGAGAGGTGGATGAAGAAGTCGGGTATTACTTTTCCGGACCAGAACACCCCCTGTCTCGAGCCAAATTGCGGATTCCGCGCGTCGCTCTGTCCACTGTTTGTACGCGCGTGTGTGTGCGTGTGTGTGACGACCACTGAGGCTGGTCCAGTTAAAGTTAACCCAACCTCGCAATGTCGACTGCTGCACAGAGCAGCTACGCAGCCTCTGCTACAGACGATGCCAACAACGTTGCAGCAGTCTTCCTCCCCCACCCTCGATCTCGACTGCGCACCATCGCGAAGCAGTTCCGATGAAGAGGGTAACGAGGACGAGATTGACCGGTACTACAACATGAAGGTTGGGGGCAACGTCGATCCGGTTGAATGGTGGATCGGTAATAGGGCTCGGTTCCTAAAGCTGTCTCAGATGGCCCTTGACGTTCTCGCTATTCCGGCCATGGCAGCTGACTGCGAGAGGTCCTTTAGCATTGCCAAGCTTACTCTGAGCTCCCAGAGGCATGCAATGAAGTGGGAGGCTATCGAGATGCTTCAGATGCTGAAGAACTGGCTTAGGAACGGCGATATCGTCATCGGAGGAGTCATGATGGGCAGCAGTCCGGGTTGGGGATCGATTAAGGGGCAGCAGGGTTACGAATAGCTGCATTTGTATGTCAGTTCAGTTCAGTTCAATCCAGTTCAATCCAGTTCAAGGGCCGAGGGAATCAATCAGTTCAGATCAGGAGGGTCTGACTGATCTGACTGATCTGAGAGCAGCGCTGACAACAGCACAAACAGACACCATGGCTCAGTATAAGAAATCCGTATGTATAATTCCAAAGCTCTTTAAAACTTGTTTGGCCTAACTAATTGTAGGACGACTACACTTGGTACAAGAACGGCAATGATGGTCGGCGTCATGCGGGACATCCCAGAGCTTCGAGCTCAACTCGGTAAGAACCTGTGACCTGGGGCGATAAAGACTTTAGAACTAACCCTGTTTTACTTAGGACAACCAAGTGAAAGTGAAGCTTGCCCCTGGCGAGCTTTACTGTCGTTGGCCTGCCCATGATGGTGGGCTTTGTATCGTCGATGTAAGTACTCTGTATAACTATAAGGACTTTAGAAATGAATCTTAATCTATTTACAGTCACAATTCTCTACCGAGTTTAACCTGCGAGCCCATATTCGCAAGCACAAGCTGGACGGCCATCCGGTCTCTATTAAGCATAGACGCATCGGAGCGAACAGCGTAGAGGACATAACAGTAGCTGCCAGTAAGCTGCTAACTTATACGGAAGTATTGCTAAACAGCTGCTAATCGATCATAGAGTTTTACACAGACATTCGGAGGAATGTTGAGGCGGCCGGTGAACCCGGTGGTTCCCCCTCCGTTCCCATTGTTACACCCTCCAAGCTCTGAGGGGTGCAGAGTGGTGTCCCTACCACAACCCCTCGGATGAAACAGCAAGCGCCCGTCAAGCTCGGTCTTCCGGTTACGTTTGCGAGACCGGGCCGGCCGTCTCGTGTAAGTGATATGACTCAGGATAGATTCAAGACTCACTTACCTAACAACCTCTTAGCCCAAGCTTGCAAAGATGAAGAGAATCTCTGGCCTTGGCCGCCAGGCCAAGTGCCAGGGATGCAAGACCAACAAACGGGCAAAGTGTAGACACTTTATGACTTATGATTTCTTTCACAGCAACTTTAGAGCTAATTTGTTATTGATTAGGCCCCCCTCCCAACCAGACCTACCGAAATAGAGGCGTGCGAAGTGTGGAATCACTTCATAATACATAGTTGTGAGGAGAATGCGGGTAATGATAAGGATAAGGAAGAGGACATGCCTCGGTCGGCGGTGGCGATATCACGCAGACTGATGAGGCTGCTGCTGGTAGTGGTGCTTATGATAGGGCGGTGATGGTGAAGATGGGTTGATCTAACGGTCACCGGTGGTATGATGGATTGGGAATTGAATTGGAATCGATTCATTTATGCTAGTTTAAATTTAGGTAGTTCGTTGCTTTACACATCGGTTGTTTTCGAAGCAATGAGCCTGGATATTGTATCTTGTTATATTGAAGAATGTGAATACAAGCTGCCTAAGCCTTGAGGGAGGCGATGCCGGGAGCCTCACGGTTTGTGCTGTGAGCTCGGGTTATGTGATAGCACAAGCACTATTGGTGGCATCGTAGTATAAGACGGAGGGATTGAAATGCTGGGATCTGCCGTTGTATATTTCCCCTGTCTCTTTTGTGGTCCGCCAAAAACTCATTCAGCGCACACTTTCCCAACTACCGGCATTTATTGGAGACTCCCGCCCCGGCATTTCCGTTTCGTTTCGCGGAGTGGCTCAACCTCCACATACCAGCGCTGTCAACAAGTCAAGTCTACCAAGTCAAGTTTTCAAGTCAAGTCAAGTCAAGTAAGTCAAGTCTGGATTTTTTGAGACTTGACAAGTCAAGTCGATGCACCGACTTGACTTGAGAGACTTGACATTTAGTAGGGTTAGGGTTATATACGGTAAAATTGCCCAGATTTTTAGTCGTTCCAGCTTTCTGTCCAGGATCTGAAGCGAGCCCGCAATCCCTGCGACGCGCCCTCTCATCCGCGTTGATCAACCCCGATCAAACGGCAGTTGCGCGCCGCTACAGTGCTCTAAACATACAATTTCTACCGGCAAGCCTCCCGAAATGGCTCTCGCCGTTACCAATAGCGCCACCCGCGCAACTCCCAACTCTGATATTTCCATTACGCCGAATATGACTTTAAGATCCCGTCGCACTCTAACGCGTTCGACGCGTTCCACGCGCTCGGCCGTGCCGTAGTCACCAAGAAGAGCCTCAAGGAGCAAATTCGCGATGCCAAAGCCATCATCGACCTACCCCTCGATCCGAAGCAATACCCAAAGATCCAGGGTCCCGAAAAACGGTTTTACCACCTCCGCGCGCACTTCAAGCAAAAGGATGGGCCTTCCTGGGTGAACGCCCACGGCACACTGCTCCTACGGCTCACGGAAAGTGACTCGAGCTCTACAGACGGCAAATTCTGGGTTTGCCACAAGTGTTACAACATCTTTGACGCGGAGGCAACAACTTCGCCAGCTAAACACCTTCGACAAAAGCACGGTATTACAAAGGATGGCGAGCTTCAGAGAGCAAGCACTGCGGGCAAGAGACCGCCGCCGGCGATTGACGAGCTCTTCCAAGCTCGAGCCAACAAGAAGACTAAACTCCCGCCCCCCCGAAAGATCCAGGACCGCTTCCAAGAGCTCCTAGTCAAGTGGGTTTCCGATTCGGATATCCCATTTTCCGTGGTTGAAAACAAGCACTTTCGGGACCTATTTTCTCTTGTCAATCCAACACAGACCGACGACCTCCTTCCAAGAAGTCATGCCACCACACGCAATTGGCTGAAAACCCAGTACAACCTCTATTTTGATGCCCTTAAGGCGGAGATCACAGCTACACCCAATCCTATCCACATCTCCTTCGACGGGTGGTCATCCCCCGGAACTGCCGCGTTTTTTGCTGTCGTTGTGCACTATTTCAATGCTGCGGGGGAATTCAACACCCGCTTACTCGCCCTGCCGCGGATCAAGGGCACTCACAATGGCGAAAACCTCGCCAATGGAGTGGTTGAGGTGGTCGAGCGCTTTGGCTTCCGAGCTAAATTAGGGGTTTTCCAAGCCGACAACGCAGAAAACAACGATACGTGCGTTACCGAACTTTTGCGGTACTTCAACCCCCATCTTTCCACTTCGCAGCTTGACCTCATTCGGTCTCTCAAGCGAGTGCGCTGCGTTGGCCACATCTTGAACCTCGTTGCTAGAGCTTTCCTGGACGGCGAAAACAAGGAAGTAATCAGGAAACTGGCAGAGGGCTCAGATGAGCGACTTTCTGCGGAACAAGAGAGAGAGCTTCTCAACGCGTGGCGAGAAACTGGGCCAGTGGGTAAGCTACACTACCTTGTGCACTTTGCCCGCCGTACGCCTCAGCGCAGGGACGCTTTCGACGACTTTACACAAGGTATGGCCTACCCCCCATTCAAAAGGGATTAGTTATATTAAATAATGCTAATTTGGTGTTCTTCTATAGGCAAGCTCAGCGCCCGGTACAATCGACTAGGAGATCTCAACGATGAAGCTGTACTTTCTTCCGAGGATTGGGCAGTTCTGACAGAGATCAAGGCTCTGTTGGCCCCATTCAAGTTTATCACCAAGAAGTTGGAGGGGAGAAAGCCCAATCTTTGTGACGTTGTCAGCCACATCTTCAGCCTCCATCGGGATCTTAAGCATCTACACCAAGCATACAGAGTGGAATTCGAACGTTCGGGAGGCTTCGATAGCTCCATATTTCCGCCTAATGACGAGCGGCCCGCGGGCCAGCTCCCGGGATTCCTGTTCCCTGAACCTAGCGTGACACAGCAACGCCCGCGCCGAATTCGTCGTGTGCCAGCTCGGTTTACTGATTACGAAGTCGACCTCCCCGGGATCGGGCTCCGCAGCCCAGTTACCGAGCCTAGGCAGCAGGACCCCTGTATTGAGCTTGGGAATCCTCTTCACGATGATCTCGAGGTGCCTTCCTTCTCGAGCCTTCAATCTAGCCTCCAATACGCCATTGACAAGCTCGAGAAGTATCTTGAGATTCTAGATGGGACACCTGTTTATTGGGCAGCTCTTATTCTACACCCGGGCCGCAGGATGAAGTGGGTGAGGCTATTTTACGAGGGCAACGACAAGAGGATATTGGAGATCCAGCGGCGGTTTATGGCATATTTTGATACGCACTACCCAGCAGTCGAGCCGGCGACCCGCCCATGCACCCCGGAGCAAGTCCCTGGCTTTGGGGATAGTTTCTACGATGCCCCAGTTGCTGGCGGTATTGTGGATGAGGTTGGGGAGTATTTACGGGGGCCTGTACACCCCGTTGTCGACCCGATCCAATGGTGGTTGGCCCGGAAAGACGAATACCCACGCCTCACGAGAATGGCACTCGAAATACTCTCAATACCTCCCTGCGCAACGGAATGTGAGAGGACTTTCAGCCTCGCAAAACTTACGATAGGGTCGCAACGATACTCTCTTGGTGATAGTACCCTCATAGAGCTTCAATGTGTCCGTAACTGGGCGCGGGGAAACTTATTAGGGAAGGTTGTGGCCTCATGACAGCCTTGAGAGGCACATCTTGTATCTATTTCGGGCTCGGAATAACCTCATCCGAAATCTCTTGGCAAGTCTGTCAAGTCAAGTCAAGTCGGGGGTCAATCAAGTCAAGTCTAGCTCAGATTTGTCAAGTCAAGTCAAGTCTGCGGTCAGACTTGACTTGACTTGACTTGTTGACAGCGCTGCCACATACCAAATGCCGGCTGGGGGGCGAAGGTCCACGTCCCCGGATCTGCAGCCCAATGTCTCCTGGTCGTTCCACCGTCCCACTTGCCCCAAGGTTCCATAATCTCCCAGGCAAAAAAAATGCCGAACTCAATTCGAACGCCTCGGCTGGTTTGCCGCCCCTCAAGCAAGTTAAAGAGGTAGGGGGAGAGTGAGGAGGAGTAAGAGGAAAAATAGAGATAGGCTTTCGGGTTAGGGTTTATATGTGGATAAAGTAACATGGCGCTGTTTGGACGGTTCAGGGGCTGGATGCCCGGTCCCCTCTCTCCCCATCAACCCTGGACAACACATTGTGGCACAACTGAATGGGAAATAAAACATGATAGTTGATATCAACCCACCGGTCGGCGGTGTATCCGGCAAGGTACACGGTCATGATAATCCAATCCAACCCCGAGAAACCTAACCCTAACCCTGAGCTACCCACCGTGCCCTTGGACCCCTTTTCCTCGCAGCGGCTCAAGTCCAATACCGAAAGTTTGGGTGTTTTCTTCCTAGGTTATCTTTCTCGTGCTCAGTCAAGCCTTCAAGGCGGTGATCCCGCTTGCCGGCGGCCCTCGCCTTATTCTCGTACATGCAGTAGAGGATGCCGAAGATGGAGAGGAGGACGGCGGCGATCTGGCCGCACAGGTTGATCGTGTGCCCGGTATGGTATTTTGGCCCATCGGCTTTCGTGTACGTCCATCTGTAGCAAGTGTTTTAGCAAGCTTGTCGCTAGGGTGGGGCAAGGGAGTGGGGGCCGAGAATGCCAACTTACGTTGCCACGATTCCACCGATGGTTCCGAGTGTCACCACATAACCCGAGCTCACAGCACGAACCGTTGGGCTCCCGGCATTATTCAAACTCCATGCGAGAAATCCTGGGCCACCAGGGAATGCTCCGACGGTCACAAAGTAGATGGCCATGTAGCGGAGGTTTGGGTCCTCGACCCAGCGGAGGATGGCAAACCCGATGACTGCCAGGCACGAAAAAGCGGCGAGCCAGATCCCGCGCTGGTGGGTCTTATCACTGCCATAGGCAACGGCAATAGCGACCAAGCACGCAGCAACGTATGGGGGGACCGAGTAAAGCTGGGCTTTGGTGTCGGTCCACCCGAGGTCGGTCAAGATGGTGGGCATGAACACCGACAACCCCTGGACGGTGATATTGATAAGGAAGAAGCCCAAGGCGCACGTGTAGTTGTGGATGCAGAAGACGGCTTGTTTCATATCCGCCCACGTCACCCTGGCTGCCGGGTCCGCCTTGTTCTCGCGGATGAGCCGTTCGGCCGCAATGCGACGCTGCCGCGGTGTCAAGAAACGCGCCTCACTTGGCGTCGTGGGCATCCAGATAGGCGCGGCGAGGCCAACGAGGATGGTAATGATGCCTTCGAAGAAGAAAATGTTGCGCCAGCGCGCGATGCGCATCGACGCCACCCCCCATTCGGGGATTTTCGACAGGCCCGTGGCCAACAGGCCGCCAAACGCTCCGGCAATGGAGGCCGCAGACACGTAAATGCCCACGCGGAAGAGCAGCTCGTTGCGCTTGTAGAAGCAACTGAGGAAAAAGGCCAGCCCGGGGAACGCGCCGCCTTCAAAGACGCCCAAGAATACTCGGACGACCATGAGGCCCGCGAAGTCGTGGACAAACGCGGTGCATAACGAGACCAGTCCGAAGCCGCAAACGAGGAAGGGTAGGTAGTAGCGAGGTCCAACGTGCTTGAGGATGATGTTGCTGGGCACCTCGACGATCAGGTAGACGATATAGAAGATGGAGAGCGCCCAGTTGAAGCGCACGCCCACGCCCAGCTCGAGGTCCTTGGACAGGCCCTGGATGCTCGCATTGCCGATGTTGATGCGGTCGAGGAAGCACAACATGTACAACACCGTCACCAGCGGCACCGTGTGCCAGTCGATTCGGCGCCGGAGTGCCCTCTCTTCCTCCTCGGTCCACTCGAGTTCCGAGTCAGGCATGCTGGCGTCCGAGAGGTCGCCATCTTTGGACGATTTGACACGAACCTGCTCAGCTTGCTGGGCTGGAAGACAGTCGGCGGTGTGTTAGTTAGGGGGACCTTGTCTTGGCATTGAGGAGTGTCCCGATGTTTGGGTTGTCACCTACCAATCTCCTTTTCCGAGTCCATTTTGGTGGGGATCCGTAATGGGGTTGCCCCTGAATGGACAGTCGGCGTGACGGCGAAGCAAAGAGTTGGAGACCGCGCCCGTGATCAGCGAGGATAGAAACCACAACGCGCCGCGAGAAAAAAAAAGACGAGTGGGGAGGGCCTGCATTTTTCACTACGCGACCAGGGACGCTGCACGTGGTTTAAGACTGTTCTCGAGCGGGTGGCATCGCAGGGTACCCATCACACCGTCCCGGACCCCCGCTCCCTCCCTTGACCCTGCGATGTTGGTTCAACCGAGTGGAACCTGCAGGCGGATCCAATGTGCTATCGGTTGAGTACAACCGGGGAGGCGGGAAAAGAGGTGTGAGAAAGGATCAAGGCAGGAATAGCAAGCTCGGGAGGTTGTGGCCGGCCAAGGTGCCCGACATTCCTGGACACACGGGCACTGCAGTTGGCTCGCAATGAACGCAATGAACGTAATCCTGGCTTGTTCGCGAGCAAGCTGCAGATTGTCAGACTCGGCAGATAGGAATGGGCCCGCTATTGCAGCCAAATCACCTGGGACATTTGCCAAAACTCCGACGCCAAGCTCTGCCGAGAATATTGAGAATGCGGGGGAGGCAAGGTCAAGGGTGGGCAAGACAGGGGTTAGCAGGAGGGACGGCTCGGAGCCCTGGGGGCCATGGGAGAGAACGCAAGCAACAAGAGAGGTAAGCTTGTCGTGCTGGCCAGGCTCGAGCCAAGGTCTCCGCTCCCACCACATGGGACCTCGACCCCGGAGAACTGAATCGGATTCGACTCAAGCGGGCCTGGCCTCGTCGGCCTTGACTTGCAGGGAGTGATCAACTGAGCTCCGCCCTGCCTGCAGCTGCTTCACGAAGTTGCGGGCTCTTTCAACGGCAATGGTTTGTTCCACGGCAGTCAAGTGATTGCGAGTGATCATGGAGACACACGCAAAGTTGGAGTGTCTTGGTAATGGCGGCCGAGGGTGTCGCCGAAAGGACGTAACCAATGAGCAGCTGGAGATCCCAGGCGCTCTTCCCGGCTTGTTCATCGGCAAGTCTTATCGGGCCTCTCGCTTAACACCAACCATCTCCTCTTAATTTGACGGGAACCAGGCAGGCTCACACCTTTGCTGGTTGGAGAGCCTGTTGGAATGGTCGTCTCGCACATTACCGACCAGAATCTCACCCTACAAAAGCAAATGCAGTTTCCATGCAGGTCTATAACACAAGTGCGAGGCAGGCTCGCATTTTTGCCTACACGTAAGCCACTGTCTGACCATGCTGCGATTTTGTGTGTATGTACATTTAATTCCTACCCAGGAGGCTCACCGGGCAAAGCCCAGTGACAGATCTGCCAGCCCATGTAACATAACCGCGCCAATGGTGTGTGAATCTACATTTTGCCCCGGTTCCGGACGGGCTAGATCAAACCATTCATGCTTGCCAGAGGAGACGGGCTCCCTCGGTGACTTGTGCGCACATTGGACTTCTCAGTTAACGGACGTCAAACCTAAAACTGCTTGCGCTTGCCGAAGGAGGGGAAAAGGCTTAAAGGTGTTGGGGCAAAACGGCGATGCCCGGCCTGCTACGTGTACGCGCGCGCAACCACAGCGGCGAGGAGAGACCCGGGGAACTGATTCTAGCACACTTGCAGAAGACGCGATAGAAGTAGTGCATTGATGGAGTCTGATGAAGAGATTTGCTCGTACACTTTACTTACCCTTTAGTAATGGAGCTAAGTTTAAACCAAAGATGTATGTGTTAAGAAGGCTTTAGGTCGCGACGAGAATCCTAAGATCCAAAAATGTATCAAGCAACCTGAGAGAGTTTTCGAAAATGCAAGTCCAAAACTAGGTAGTCAAGGATGAAAGGTTATACTCCTTGATGTAAGACGACTACATGTAGGTACTCTGGTCCCATGGGATATAAAATGGGACGAGAGGTAACTGATTAGATAATTCAGAATCCATTCCCCCAGCTACAACCCCGCTTCAGGCTCGCAATCGGGGGCCATGATTTTTCCTCACAGAGTTTCACCCAACAACCAAGCGACCTCAACAATTGTTTGACTGAGTACTACCTCTCATTTCTGTCAATGTGTTATAAATCTGCCTAGCCACCCATCTCAACTCTACAACTCTGAACTTGAACTAATCATTGTTGTGTGTGGACAGCATGGCATCCTGGTTAGCCCTACCTACCTGGCAGCCTTGCCAAGCTGTGATGGACCTACCACAAGGAGACGCCGACGCTTGTCATGGCTTCGATGGCAACTCAGACTTGTACGGCATCGGTATCCGTATCGGTGTCTACCTGTCTTGGTACACGTCACTTACAGCCAACCTCTGGGCCAATACTTTTGTCGATGAGCTGTCCGACACCAACACGCTGTTCATTCTCTCTAACGTCGTGGCTGTCACCTTCGGTGCCTCACGTCACGCAATCTCGAGCGTCGAGGCCTTCATTGTTCTGTGTATTTTTGCCGGCTACTTCTTTGGTTCTTGGACGTTGCCGGACTTCGGGTCGGGGCCTTCTGCACCTCCACAGCGTCGGAGACCAAGTTCGACGGCAGAACGGTACGGATCTACAAACACCTGTACTTTCGGTTTCTCGGAGGCTTCTCGGTTGCCGGCTTTGCGCTGAGACTGTGCCTCGTTCTGGCCGCCGCCGCCTTTTCGACCTGGTTCTTCTTCCACGGTGCCGACGTGCTCAGGAAAGACATGTGTGGATACAAAATCTTCTTATTTGGGGCACACCCGCTGTTTGGCCCTGTGCGAAGATTTTTAAAGGTGTATTCGGTATTGGTTTGCGTGTTGCTGGGGATCATCTACATGCCAGCTTTCATGTACCTCTTCATCTACGTGATGGTTCCCGTTACAGGAATGATTGCCATGGCTATTTGCTGCGCAATTCTTTGCGGTAAAGAGGACCAGTTGAGTTGCGGCAAAGTATGCGCTGCTGCCATTTTAGGTGGAGGTATTGTGACCAATCTAGCCATGGCGGAACTGTCGCTGGACGCAGAATCTCTTCGCGCGCCAAGTGGGAAGAGGTTGCAACGATGCCTTGACATGGATGGATATCTCTCTACGTAAGTTTACTTGGTTCTACTTCCAGTTAGCGCCGCGCGTGCCTGTGCTGTGTGCTCACGAGTGCTACAGGCTTTTACTCAACGGTGTCGCTTTCATCTTGCGCAACCACCGTCGCATAATGGGGCTCGTGGGGCTGGTAATGTCAACCTGGACCATTGTAGTCATTGAGATGACAATCAAGGTCAACGACATCCGGGGTGTCAACGAGCTGGCTCAGACGAGCCAGCTGATTCCTTTCGTCCTAGGGTGTGCCCTTTTCCTCGGCACAGTCCGAAGGGCCATTCTTCAACGTGTTATACTAGTATGCCGACGGCTGCCTACTTTGCGAGAGAGAACAATCAAGACTAACTGGGCCGGTAGGACCGAGCCAACGACAAAGAGCCTAGCATACGGGCCCTATCACCTGCCCGCGGTTCTATTCGAAGTCGCCATGGCCCCCAAGGTGAAGGGAAGCTCGTAGAAACAGCGGAGGAAACTGTCCATGAGATTGGGGATATGGTAAACAAGCAACCGCAGCCAGAGCCTCGTATGGGGTATGGGGTGCCTACCTAAGTCTGGTCTGGTATCATTGTAACACAAAAGCCTAAACCTTAACCCCCCCCTCTACCCCCCCAACCTTAGCTGATCAACCGGATCAATTGTGTTTCCCCATCGTTCGGAACTAATTTGCTTCTATATCTGCTTCATTGAAGCTCTCTGTTGTGGTATAGGTCTACGCGTTGAGGGATGTCACTTTTATCTTACCATACCTAGGTAGGTTGCAGCCTGGCGCAGACGAGGTTTTGTGGATAGGTACCTACCTACCTAGTATTATTGGAAATCACATTAAACCCATTATTTGCTATAGAATGAAATTTTAAGGAGAATACGAGTCGAGGCTAATGTAAATTTATGGGGAACTGAAACATCAGGCCGCGTCCAGCGCGAGAACCAACAGTTTCCTTTCCAATGACCTAACCAAGTATTTAAAGAACCTTTCTAGACAGCCACAGCCGGCCAGTAGCTAATTTTTTAAACAGCCCCCTAGTAATACTCAGGTTCCCGTTCGGACCTCCGGCTTCTCCGAACTTCAGTAGCTGGTTGTCTGCTGACCCTCGAGACTGCTGGGCGCGTCTCCGCCCTCGACCGTGATGGGTCTACTGAAACGCGCATGCGTTGCATTCCTGACACCAACGTCTCAGCAGCACGGCTAGAGGGTGGATTTCTCTGAGACGGGGTGGTCGTAGTCGCAGATCGGCGTTCCCTTTCGTCGTAAGTGCGAGATGTCGACTCCCGGGGGTCTCTTCGGTTATCCCGACTATGCCGACTGTCTCGACTGCCACGGTTCGTGTGGCCACCGCCGCCCCTGCCGCCGTTGGTCGGTGGCCGAGGCTCAGGGCTCGGGGTCCGCTCAATCTTTAGAGCCCACCGGACTATCTCTTTGTCCTCTCGGTTTCGCTGTACGACTTCGCTGACAAAATCACGTCGCTTTTCATAGCCTATCCGGTCAGCAATCTGCCTCACCTGCGGCGCGTACGTCCTGTCTTTGATGATGAAGTGCAGATCACTGTAATCTCCGGCAAACCCCCGTCCATAAGATTAGAACTTTGCCTTGACGAGAGGGCCGACAGCAAGGAAACTGATGGCAACTCCGTCGCGTCCAAGTGGAATGAGCTCCGTGGCTGCTGCCAGGTCCGACGGCATACCATGGCCCTCGGCACCCTGGGACTTGAGATCTAGCTGCACGAGTTGGTTACGGACCCGAACAAAGATACGAGCAACCCCAGAAGCCCAGAGCATTCTACTCCCCGGCCTAATGACACTAAGTTAAATTGAGCAGTTGCCCCGACGTCAGCATCGACCAGTCGATTGATCAGGATGAGGATTTGGGTAAGGGGGATGATGGCAAAATACATACGACCTCTCATTGTTTAGCAGGTCTAAGACAGCTGACAGAGAATTGGACCTGCCAACGGCGAGATCCACATCCTGGGTCGTCCGGCCTGATCCGCGCAAGTAAAAGTTCATGCCGCCCATAAGGCCGTAAGTGACTCCCGCATTGTTAAGGATGGATGCGATGATCTTGAGCGCAGCCGTCTGATGCTGGGCGTCCGCTGACTCGGCCTCTTCTTCGAATTCATCAAGGTCAACAACACTGTAAACCTGGCAAGGCATCTTGGAGGATGAAAGAGCGTGCGAGAGGACGGGAAAGGGGTGCGGACGTGGTGTTGGATAATGGGAGAAGAGAGATGGGTGAGACAAGGGAAAGGAACGTGAGAATACAAGTGAAACCGAGAGCCAGCTCGGAAGCGATCTAATGGTAAATGAGTATGTATGCGTGAGCCTTTGCGCTGAAGTCTAGGTAGCCGACATGCCTTCTTTATGGTATATATAAGATGAACTATAAAACACGCTTAACATTATTTTGGGCTGAAGCCGGCCTAATTGACCGGGGCCCAGTGCAAGCATCACCATCTAGCCTGAAGCTCCCGTGGTGATTCATGATGCAGGCCTCATACTTGAGAACCCGGACTGCGTTACGGCCACAGACAGTCCTGCAAGTTGGCCGCCCTGCCCTATTCTCGAGGCTTGCTACGACAGATACCCTGAGTGTTGCTAATTCCGGGCTTTCGAAACACAACGCGGGTCGCTAGCTTAGGCGCGCAAGGGGTTGAAGAGGAACGTCTCAACAAAGGGCCGTGAACGCCACACCTATCAAGGCATGGATATGGAATCGATGAGGTATACTGATAGACGACAAGGCCCAAGGACCCGATTCACCGTCGATCATGCGCGCCGAGTGGGCAACGAAAGGATCCGGGGACCCCGTGCTATTGGGAGCGGAGGAGTTAATAAATGTCAAACCATCCCTACCGAGTCGCAGTCCAAGGCCGCACCAGGGTACACAGGCGCCACAGCGGTACGGCCTTGCCCATCTTCGTGAGGGGGTCCAGGGGAGATGATGTCAGAACAAGCCCAGAGCGGCTTGCGCCTAGGACCTGGGTCACGTGACCCGGGGGGCCAACCAAATTACTGGTCGCCAGAAAATTAGACCAGTTTGAGCAGGATTGGGGCGGTCGAGTCAGACCTTTGTGCCTGTGGACACGCGAGGGAATCAGTGGAACACTTTCTTTTCCGATGCGTGAGATGGACAGCTCTGAGGGAAGACATGCTGCAATGCACAGTGGCAAGACGAGGAAGCCTCTCATTCTATCTGGGAGGGAAAGCGCCATCAGATACAAGGCATTGGTCACCAGATATGAAGGCAGTCCGGGCGACGATCAAATACGCAATGGCAACAGGAAGGCTGGAGCTGAATGAGGAGGAGAGTCTAGACCAGTCACAGTAGAAGAAGCCGACACTCAACACCACGAGCCTCAACCACGAGCCTTAACCAGCAGGTCCCGCTTTAGCTGCTGAAGATAGGACGCTGAACACTTGGAGAAAGTAGCCTCCAAGTTGATCTGCTAACAACAACCAAGGCAAGAGGTAAATGGTGCAGCGAGAAAGAGGGAAGAAGTAGGGGGCTTGTACGAGTTAAAGGCAAAACGATTTGATCCGGATGTAGTCAGCGTGCTAAGGCCCTATAGGCCCAGTGCCTCCGGGCGAAATAAATTCCATCCATCCATCCATCCATCCATCCATCCAAATTAGACCAGTTCAACAAGTTGAAGAAGAACAACGAACAACAAGCACTGCAATTGACAGCCATCACCACCCTCTACTCCGTTCCTTTTGACCCAAGCCTTCAGTGATCTGCTCAATGCCTTGAAATACCGCTGGTTCCAACAGATGACTCGGCCTCCGCGCCATGGAGAGTAGCCGGTATCAGATTATCGACGACTTGGCCCGATACGTAATTAGGCCAATCAAAAATTTCGAAAGGAGTTGATTTGGGAACGAGTGATTCTTCGGGGAACTGCAGGATCTGGCAAAACAATAGTCGACTACAGATGATCCCCCCACAGTTGTTCTACTTGCCGGGGAAGAGGCCCGCAGCAGAGTCCCTGTGTTAGAGTAAAAGGCGGTATAGTAAGTGGGTCAATGCCTTTGATAGGACCGTTCATCCTCTGTATTAAGTTGTTATGTACATACATGTATGTAGGTGGTGTGTGGGTTGGCCAGAGTGGTCGGCCGGTGTCGATGCCCCATAGATGAGACCGCTTGAATGCGCCACAAACGGCGAAGTTTCTTGTTCGCAGTCAGGGCCCCGGAACCTATAGTTAGCCTAGGCCTGGGGTTGCAGCGCCGCAACAGCCGGTCTTTGCCACGCCGGCTTTCTCCACACAGGCCTCCCAATTTCATCTCCTCGCCCACCCACCAAGTCGTGCAAATCAACTCACTGCCAACTCTCATGACCAACGCGGTTGTTCAACACACCCAGCAATCCTTTAATCCCATTTAAAATCTTTTTTTCCCATTCAGGAGAACCTTCCAAGATGTTAAGCCCGGTTGACCAACCTCCATTGCCCGGCCTTCGAGATTTTTCGGGCAAAGACACAAGCCCACAAGGCGTCAACGAGATCTTGGAAGTAGTGGATCATCTGGCAAGCGGAAATATTCCCTCATGTGTGATCGGAGTCAAGGCATTGCGCTACTATGGTGCCGCCAGGGTAACAGATGCAAGTCCATCCGTCACTTGAGAGGCATGCTTAATTTCGTTCACTTGCTGACTTGGAGGTAGGAATGGGACCTTTGTATTCCCGACGACAAACTTGAAGAAGCCTGCCATGTTCTCCTCTCCACGGCCGGCGGAGACAAGTACGAAGTTGCCCAGGGGCCCCATCCCGTACCTTGGTCCCGGCGTCATACCTTCACTTGTTTCCGCCTGAAGGGTTACAATTTCTGGTTTATCCTGGTACCATCATCAGACTGTTTCGTCGACCCTTCAACCGCCAGCCATGTGGAGAAGAGTAGGAACGGCGTGCCGTATGCGTCTCTGGTCCAGTTTTCTCGGTCACTGCTCTTGCAGCAGATGGTGGCCGACATCTCTGATTTCATTGATGGGATGGATCTCACAGTGGACTGGGGGACTCAGAACATTGGGTTCGAAGCGCTCCAGAAGGACAGCGCCTGTTTCATTGAACGTAGGAACGAACATGCGACGGTTGATAGTGGCCGATACGGTTTTCTTTCGTCGCAGTCTTTGGAACAGCTGTGGAACGAGATGGCAAGTAAAGAGGCCAAGGAGAGGCGCATAGAGCCGATGAAACAGGGCCGGTACTTCACGCGATGGAGGAGAATCAAGTCTCCGGAGGATCCCAGGACCAAGGACCGTCCGGTGTAGGAGGCGGTGCATTACTAGCATTTTATACTTACCTTAACAATGTACAATCGCGCGTTTGATGGGATTTCTTGCAAGCCTCCCGAGATCCACAATAAAAATACTTGTAGTGACATGTACCGTCTGACCTGTGTTCGGTGCGTATCTTGCTCCTTCACCCCAACGCCAGCCCATGTTTGCGCGTGATGATTACCTTAGGTAACTCCGAAAAGCGCCACTCTCGATTACAAAAAGAAAAAAAGAAGAAGGTAGGTTGGGAAAGACATAAAAGGTTGAAGGTTGAAGGCTGATGTGGAGAATACTTAGCGGTGCAAGGCGGGTATCCACGAGCCGGGACATATTCGCTCACAGCAGCGAGGGGTTCCTCTGTCTTCGGGCTTACGGACCCTTAAGCGGCCTTACATTTGTTGGGAAGCCGTTCCTTCCTCTAAGCCGTAGAGTGACTGCTCTCGAAGGCAAGAGCGGTTTGGGTACCCTAGCTCGAGGGAAGGAAAGCGGGCTGTGGATCGAACCGGTTAGGTGCTCCTACAGCCGGCAACGTACCGGTCAACCTCCTGCTCACTCGCCTGGAGCTGCTTCTTTTTGCTCAAGCCGGGATAAAATTTCTCTCAAAGCGTAAGCCGTCCAAAGGCTTTTCAGTTTCTCGGCATGGGGCGGTAATGTATTCTGTCTCGACAAAAGTGTACTCTGATCTAGGTATGAAACATGGGCAAGGTATATTAACTCCGAGGAAAACGGGTTGTAAAGTCGAAAGAGGGAGGGCCAAAGAGAAATTGAGTTAAGATTGACAGGACGGAATTAGACCCATCGGGGTTGACTGGAGTTAGCTGAGGGTTATCAGGGAAACCCCGAGATGGGTAATTTTGGCTGATAGCACCGCTTGCATGCCTGCACATCTTACTGATCTCAACCGAATCTATTTGTTCAAGCCGCTCGTTCACTACTAAGCCGTAGAGTGACTGCTCCTCAATGGCGGGTGGGGTTGGCAACATCAAGCTTGACGTGAAGAAGCGGGCTGTTAATAGAACCGGTTAGGTGCTCTAAGCCGGCAACAGTACCGTCATACCTCCTGCTCACTCGCCTGGAGCTGATCTTTTTGCTACAGGGCGGGATAAATTCGCTCAAAGCGTAAGCCGTCAAAGGCGTTTCGAGTCTCGGCATGGGGCGGTAATGTATTCTGCTCAACAAAATGTGCTACCTGATCTAGGTACATGCAGTCATATAACCCGAGACGGGTGTAAAGTCGAAAGAGGGAGGGCCGAAGAGAAATTGAGTAGATTGACAGGACGGAATTAGACCCCCCGGGGTTGACTGGAGGTAGCTGAGGGTTATCAAGAAACCCGAGATGGGTAATTTGGTGATAGACCGCTTGCATGCCTGCACATCTCAGTGATCTCACCCAATCCATACAGCCCCAGGTTCACGACGAGCGTAGAGACCCTCCTCAATGGCGGTGGGTGCAACATCAAACATGACATGATGGACCAATCTGCTATTATAATCCCCAAGTACAGACTGTACAGTACCTACATACCTAAGGTACCTACCATGAGCGAACGTGCTACTGGGCAGATAGCCGCCCGCCAACCACGGGGTCGAGCCGCAGGAGTCGCATTCCGCGCCGCAAATTGAGCTGCCCATCCCCAACACGAAGTCATTCCACCTCCACGTCCCTCCACCCGCAGGTTCTCTCTGTCCCCGTAGCCCTTCCTGCTCCTGCCCCGTGTTTCTCTTACAGCCAGCGGGGCTTGCCATCCCGGTCAACATAGTACTTCCTTCCTGTCTTATCAGTGAAGATTTGGGGCCCGGAGGTTGTGCTCTTCGGCTTGTGACTGGAGGGCTGCGAGTATGCAGACGACGACTGCTTGCCGTATGACTGCCCAGACGACGACTGCTTGCCGTATGACTGCCCAGACGACGACTGCTTGCCGTATGACTGCCCAGACGACGACTGCTTGCCGTATGACTGCCCAGACGACGACTGCTTGCCGTATGACTGCCCAGACGATGACTGCTTGCCGTATGACTGTCCAGATGCCCACGTCGACTTCTTGCGGTGCATCCACCTCGGCTCACTCCCGAAGTACTGAGCGCCATGCTTTCTGCCCTTGTAGTCGACGAAGAAGTACCGCCCCCTGGAATCCTTCTCCAGCGAGCAGGCCTCTTGTTTGCCACGGGAATAATAATACGTCTGGTGCTTGGAGTTGGCAAACACCAGGACGAGGCCGTAATAGTTCTTGGTCTGATTCCCGGTGCTGTCCGTTGCGTAAATGGGGTTGCCCAACTTGTCACAGCTTTGGTAGTCACCCTCTTCGTCCACGTAGTAGTATTCGCCGTACTCGTCGTTGCGGTAGACTTCCTTTGTCCAGCCGCCGCCGCCGCCGGACCCGCCCTCTCCGCCATTGTTGTTGTTGCCCCCGCGGCCTGGTCGATCGATGGGATAATACCCAAGAAACATCATTTGGTAATACTCTAAAACCTCGGCCATGCTGGGCTCCTCGGGGCCCCAGTTGACGATGGTTCCCTCAACTGCCCTATTGCGGCCCCGGACCTGGAGGAGAATGCAAGTTAGGTAGTCACCGTTGTGGTCCCTGCGCGCTCCGATGTGGAATGTATATTTGGACTTGGATCGCGTTTCACCGTGTGACTCAGTCCACGTCTCGATACCCCAGCCAGTATGCCCAATGTAATTCGGATCGGCGTGGTGGAGGTATTCATTCATATCCGCGGCTTCACGCTTAGAGAGGTTAACGGTGGTGGGGGGTTGTTTAGGCATCTCGAAGACGAAGGAGACGAAGGAGACGAAGGAGACGAAGGAGACGAAGGAGACGAAGGAGACGAAGGAGACGAAGGAGACGAAGGAGACGAAGGAGACGAAGGAGACGAAGGAGACGAAGGAGACGAAGGAGACGAAGGAGACGAAGGAGACGAAGGAGACGAAGGAGACGAAGGAGACGAAGGAGACGAAGAAAGACGTTGTTACTGAAGGGGCGTGCGAAACTTGGACCAGCCAAGCGAACAGAAATTCAGGTTGTTTCGATAAGCGTGTTCGTCAAATATGTTAGTTGCAGTGCGAGATGGTATGGGGAAACGGGTGATGATGGCCAATTTAACTGTCTTCTCTCCTCGCGGCTAGTTCCCTGGGGGGGAGGTGCCGGGATTCGAAAGCATCCACGCCATGGGACAGACCACGCGCCGCTGGCCAACCTCTCTAAGCCATATGCGATCTAACACGAAAGATGGTCCTGTCGGCCGGGGCGAGCAGAAGGTAGGCCCCAGCGGGTTGTTGCACGGCGAGAAACGTGGTCACTAGCACAATACCAGACAACTAATGGTTGTTTGTTGGGGTCAAGATCGAGGAAAGCGGCGGCTTGAAACAAGACTGAGCCCCGATCGTGTAGGCCAAACATTCACGGACATGGGAATGCATCCCACACCAACCCGCAGATGGCGGTGCGGCCCTGTTTCAGCCAGGCCTGTTGCCCTGGGTCGATGCATAACGAAGCAACACTGGTGGTGGTGTTGGGTTTTGGGTGTTTGTTGGTTGTTGGTCCTTGGGAGTTGGGGGCGGCTTTCGGTTGGGGGCCACACTGTACGCACTTTTATCGCTACTACTTGGTTGGGTAACCCTCGTCAATGGCTACCTCAGCCTTCCGGCGCCTCTCTTCTCTCCTTTCCTCGATTTTCCTTCCGAGTTGTTTTTATACGCTAGGTACCTCCCTACTTTCCGTTTAGCGGCAGTACATGTAAATTGATGTAATTATCGATGCCTCTCTTTGACATAAGCGCCACGGCCCACATCTTTTAACGTTAACCGTTAAAAAACCTAACTAGGTACACATTCTTTTCAAGTCACTTCACTAAGTTCACTTGGCCCCTCTCTAGAGATGTGAGTAATTAGGACCTAAACACACATAGACCTGAGTTCTTTGTCATCGGCTAACCACCGCACCCAAATCTCCGCTACTCAATGGTTAGGTCTACCATCGTGACGCCGTCGCCGTACCGGCTGGGCCGCGCCTTGCAACTACACATTCTCCGGCGCTCTGACCGCCCTCTTCCGTTCTCCCTGCCCGACACGATGACTGCCACCATCCAAAACATATTGGGCACGACCATGTCCCCAGTTCGTGAAGTCGTCATCCGGACAGAGTCGGGCTCCGAATTACGCGCCGTCCTCAAAATTTACGATCGCCGATTTGGCCTTGATCTTCGCCATGTCAACCGCCACCCCGATCCTCATAGGGGAGTCCACGAAGACGCCTTCCTGTCGTTTGTGGAGCGAGGAAAGATAACGGGATTCCTCGAGGAGCATGACCGGGAAGGAAAGGAGCGGGGTACGCCCGTGCGGGCTTCGTGGTACCTCGATGAAGCGGAAGATGGCCGCGCCATGTACGAGGCGGCGCTATGGCAAGAATGCGCCGATAGCTTTGAGTGCGAGACCGAGGCCTACTCCCGGCTGAGCGACCTCCAAGGCGACCTCATCCCGCAAATGTACGCCCACGTGCGCATCACCGGCGCGGACGAAACACAGCCGCCGTCGCCGAGCACGGCACGCTACTTTGAGATCAGGGGGGTGCTTCTCGAGGCCATCGGCGGATACAAGCTCTGGGATATCGCCACCGCACCAGAAGCCCCTGCGGATCCGGGGGCGTGGCAGGCGATCATCCAGAACGCGTGCAACGCGGCGCACGAGATCAACACGCGCGGCGTTTACATGGAAGACTGCGCGGCGCGCAACGTCGTGGTCGACGCCCGCACGCAGAAGCCCTTCATCGTCGACCTGGCGCAGTGCGAGTTTAGGGACAAGTTGGCTGAGATGTGGCGGGAAATGGACGATAATGACGAGGATTGGGATCCCGACGTCGAGTACTGGCAGCTGATGCAGCAGAGCAACAACCCCGCCAAGATTGGTAGCCCCATGGTCCGGCAGTTGCAGCTGCAGAGAGGGATTGAGTTGCAGGGCATTACCTATCCGGATTACGACGGGATTATTAGGGATGTTAGACGGAAGAAGGGGCTGAAGAGTTAAAGTTCTTGGTGAAGCGGAACAATGGGGGCTGAACGAGTGTGGTACGTCCTGGCGGGAAACCTGGACCGGATGAGGGCGGGTCGAATGAAGGTTCAATCGCTGCGAGACCTGTTTGGCTACATGTGATATACCCAAGTATGTAAAAAGTATGTAAGTGAGAAACCGTACGCTTACTGAGCCCCCCAAGCCTGGGCCTCTCCCAATTGAAAGTTCAGAGACTTCTGTCTGCCTTATCGGAGCAATTTATAGGGCGCACGTGTAACCGCCGTCTCACCGCCACCGCCTTCGGTTCGAGCACGCGAGCAGCGTTCATTTGGTGGCTGTGTTGCTTGAGTAGTTAGTTCAAGTTCCCATTGGACCAATTGGCAAAGTCGCCCGTTTCTTTTTGCACAGCCCGGGACACATTGAGCCCATTATGGGTTGCCCATCCGACTGAAAATTGCTGCCCGACGGTCACCGAAGGACACTTCAGCAACGAACAATATTAATGTGAAGATATCCTGTTCCCCCGGTTTGACAACTTCACATCGACCACATCTGGATAAGCCCGCCGGTATCACCACCCGGCGATGGAGGTTGCCGGGCTCGCCGTCGGCGTCGTGGCGCTGGCGAGCATCTTCAAAGACTGCATCGACATTATCTCAAACATATCCGCCGTCCGGTCGATGGGCCGCGATGCTGAGGTGCTTAACACCAAGCTCGACATCGAGAAGACCCTTTTCTTGCAGTGGGCCGAAGGGGTACGCCTGCTTAGGGGGGACTGTGACAGACGCCTTTACGATGGTGTAATCGGCCAGGCCGTCGAGAAAGTCCTGAACACGATACGCAAGCTGGCCGATGAGTCGGGCGATATTCAGACTCGCTATGGCCTGCGGACTCCTCAGCAATACGAGAAAATCATGGCTGCTGATGAGACGGCCATCTGCCACCCTCGCATGGTCCGCTTCACCAAAGCCTTCGAGCAGCTCATTATTACTCAGGCGCGCCGACCGACCTCGACGTCCTCGCCCTTCGCAAAGATCCGGTGGGTAGCTGTCGATAAGGAAAAATTGGAGCGCCTGATCAACGACTTGTCCTACTTCATATCCAAGCTGAATGAACTTGTGCCTTCAGCTGACAGCTCCACATCGCTGTTCTCCATGGCTGCCGAGGACATCGGGCGGGTTGACGACTTCGCGAAGCTGCGCGTGCTGCGGAGCTCCGACTTTCGTTTTCAGCACGCAACGGGTCCAGAATCATACCTTATCGAGGCGGCCAGGACTAGTTTCGAGACCATGTGCAGAAAAAAGGTGCTGAAGACGCTCTGGTTCCTCAAGATCGACGACAGAAGGACGTTCATATCCCCCGCACATTCTGAGACGCTGCAGTGGGCATTGAGACCGCCAGCTGCAGACCAGAGATGGGCTGACTTCCCGGAATGGCTCCGCTCCGAATCAGGACTCTATTGGTAAGCTTTCCATCTGCCCCAGCCACCCACCAGATGAGCATGAGTTGATTTTTCCCGTCTCATCGTCTAGGGTGTCTGGAAAGGCCGGATGTGGGAAGTCGACGTTGATGAAGCACTTGTACCACCACAAAACCACCAAAAAACTTCTCTCCAAATGGGCTGCCGGTTCTCCCTTGATCACCGGCTGTTTCTTCTTCTGGTATCTTGGCACTCCGGGGCAAAAGACGTATGAGGGCCTTACCCGTACCCTCCTCTACCACATCCTTGACAGCGACCCTTCCCTGATCCCGCAACTGCTCCCAGAAATGTGGCAGGATGTTACGGAATCTAACTCTGAGCCATCCCTCACCCTGCCGACCTTTGCGGAAACACAATCCGCCTTTGAGAGGTTGTCTCGGACACCGGTCAAGGTATGCTTATTTATCGACGGCCTAGACGAGTACTCGGGCGACTTCCAAGATGGCATCTCGTTCATCGAGTCTCTCTGTCGGCACCCGAACCTGAAAGTGGTGGTGTCGAGCCGGCCGGAGCCCGATTTTATTGAGGCATTCGCAAGCAAGCCCATGTTGCGGATGCAAGATCTCACCAAATCAGACATTAGGAAATACGTGCTCGACTCGGTCGGTTCCCACCCCTACCTCCGCTCTCTGACACAGCGGAACCACACCCAAGACCGGGCCAAGCAGCTGCTGGCGGGCCTCATCGACAAGGCGGATGGTATTTTCTTGTGGATTGTCCTGGCGTGCCGATCCGTGCTCAAAGGGTTTTCGAGGAGAGACCGGATTCCGGAGCTGGAGCGCCGCGTGGCCAAGCTCCCGGAGGAGCTCGGGGCCATGTTCGCTTATATGCTCGGCAAGATCGACAAACGGTACCAAATACACTGTGCCAAGTTCCTTCGCATTTGTTTCGAGGCCCTCTCCGACAAGACCATGACCGCGGGCGGCGTGCCCACGGTCGCCCTCGCCTTGCTTGATGAGCACAGCGACAACCTCATGAGCTGCCCGAGGCTGCCAGCGACCGCCCTCGGACCTGACGAAATTGAAAACATCCGCACGAGCTTTCCCGTGCGCTTGAGCAGCCTCTGCGGGGGGCTGCTGGAGATACAGTGGTATGTCAAACCCGATTTCTTTGTCTCCATTTCCGACTGCGTTGAGAGTCGCCACGCTCTCAAGGCAGCGAATTTGCTCCCGAATGACTCTCGACATCCCAACCAGGAATGATATGACTGACACTGTTCGGCAGGGACGTGGGGCGGTTTGTGCCCGCGCCTTGGAACCCAGATGGGGACCCTATCGTCGAAACGCGTAGGTCAAATCCGAGCCGTTCATGCCCCTTTCTCGGTGACTCGGGAGCATGACGTTGGTTCGGGAGTTTCTGTGCTGCCGAATAGCTCCCGACACACCCCGGTTAGGAAATATGTGACTGACAGGGTTGGACAGAGGTCGTCTTCATCCACCGGTCTGTGGCTGAGTACCTCGACAGCGACGCGACTTGGGCCATGGAGTGCCTGTATATCCCGCCCGGGGAATTTGATGCGCGGATTGCGCTCGCGTGCCTCCCCATGTACATGGTCCAGCTGGGCCGCACGTCCGGCGACGGGATCTACGGCGGTTTCCGGCTCCTGCAGGCTGCCCAGACCGATGCGCCGCATCTCGTGCGAGCGGCTCTCCTGGACTTTCAGGCCGTGGTCCCGAACATGGAATGCTTCCGGACGCCAACAGCGCAGTATTTACGTCCCGGCCCGGAAAGTAGACACACCGAGGCCCCGCCGGACATGGTCGCCCTAGTTCTAGCCGTCGAGCTGGGGGTGCTTTCGTTTGTAAAGAACTACGTGGCCACGCACCGGCGCGTTTCGATCGCACGTCTGTCGCCCCGCTATCCCCTACTATACCACGCCATTAAGCGGCCGTTGGTCTGCAGCAACACAGCGCACAGGTTCCATGACTTCGGGCTAGATGCGGATATGATCCGCTATCTTCTCCAGGCGGGGTGCCAAGCCAGCGAGAGGATTCAAGTCAGCTCGTCGGCTTGGTGGGGTGGCACCGTCACGATGACGCCCTGGGACGTGTGGACTGATGGCGAGTGGGCTCGTAATGGAAACAATGTAGAGCTCTATGTGGAACTTACCGAGGCCTTTGTTGATTCCGGAACAATCGACGGACGCTGGGCGCGGGACGCGAAACATCCAGATTTTATGGCCGCTTTCCAGTCGAACTTGGTCGGATTCAACCCTTCTAGGGTTGGTCAGTCGGATAGGGATGCACAGGATATCAGGCGGAGGGGTCAGCGAATCTTGGATAGATTGTTTGGTACGGCCGTAGAAGTGGATAATCCCCGTGCTGTAAAGCGGCGGAGATTGGGATGGGGGCCCGGCTGCTCCTAGAAGACTATAGAACACTAATACAGTTTAAAGGTATCCTTTATCATATGTCCGTCTCCTCATAGCCTCTACTTGTAACCTACCTGTTCGCTACAGCGGGTATAGCGAGTTTGCGAGGCTGATGGAGATGGTTTATGAGCGGCGCTTGGGGAGGGGGGGAAATGGGTTTTTGATGTTATTGCCGGAGGAGGCGGAGGTGGGGGGTCGGGTTGTCTTAGTTAAAGGGGGGAGCGTGCCGTTGATGTTGCGGGGGGCGGGGGGCGATAAGGGGTGTTGGCGGCTTGTTGGGGAGGCGTATGTGGACGGGATTATGGATGGTGAGGCGTTTGATGAGAAGAGATGCGTTGACATGAGGACCCGGTGATGGATCCAGGGTTCGGTTGGGGATTCTGCTGTAGGCTTAGCAGAACTACGGTCAATACAAAGAAGGCTTGTGGGGGTGAATGATCGCCGAACGTGTGAGGATGCTTGGGAGAAGCGTAGGATAGAGAAACCTGGGGATAATATGTGATTATTATCGACCTAGCTTAGATATCCTCCATCCATCTACTACATGTAGTCGAGGGGAAGCTCACGGCGTTAAGTTGCGCGCTTGGGAATATCTACATACGATTCATCTGATCCTAAATACACCCTTTCTTGATTTGCACTCTACAATTTCACCATAGAATAGCCATCAGTTTAGACGATGTTGCCGTGTAGACAGTGCAGTTGCCAAACAAGTCCATCGGGCTGTCAGTCACGTCGAGCTGGTCGAATACAGTCTGCCGATGGGCATTTTGACTGCGGAACCGACGTCGTGTGAGTAAACCTTTTCCAACGTGATGGAGCCGGTGGTTTCGTGGAGGAAGACCTTGGCCCTCCGGCCGTGGTGGTGACGAGCCGCCGGACGGTCTGAAGTCGAGGGGCGTTGTGTAGCCACTGACGGATATCGACTTCCCCTGCGCGCCGCAGACCTCGCCGGAAACTGGTCAAGTGTTTCGTCCTCACCCATCACGATCCGGTACGCCGTACGAGCATACTCCTCAGCCGGCGCCACCAGCTCGGGTGCCGTCTCCTGATACGTATCGCGCAGCAACATCCAGCACTCGACCACAGGTCCGACCATCATCCCCCACTTCCTAACCACTACCGTCCCCCGCTCCCCTCCCTCGATGACATGCCCTAGCGCCTCCAACGCCCTCAACATCAACCCCATGGCCTGCTCCGCCGTGATTGTGCTCCTTCGCATCCATTCCGCCCTGACAACTTCCCATCAGCACCTCCCATACCTCCAACCGCGGCACCTCCTCCGCCGGACGCGCATACGTCCCCTCCAGCGCCTCCACAGCGCTGTCCACCGTCCCCAGCACCACGCCCCGCGGAGCAATCAACCCAGCCTCCCCAACCGTGCGCCACACCCCCTCCACCAACGCCCTCCTCGTCACCACCACCGCCTCTCTCAGCCCCTTCGCATCCGCACACAGCGCGCAGTGACATTCATACCCCCACTGCCTGAGCATCCTCTCCCGGTTGCGCTTACTCTCTCGGTCGCTGGCCGCGCTGGCGGGGCGGTACGCCCACGTGAGCTCCGCGTTGGCGGGGAGATCGCACGTCGCGCGCGCGATGAGAAAGTCGGCGATGAAGGCGCGGGAGGCGGTTTCCATGCAGGAGTGGTTGAGGTAGGAGGCTAGGGGCCAGATGCCGGAGGACTCGGTTTTAGAGGCGTTGGAGCCGGTGAGGGCGGCGAGGGTGGTGAGCGGGTTGCTGAAGGTGTTGATGTCCACAATGCGGTGGATGAGGAAACTGGGACGGTTAATTAAATTCCTAGGGGGTTATGAGGGGCAGGAAAAGGGGGAGGAAACGGGGGAGGAAAAGAGGGAGGGGGCGTACCTGTCGATGATGGGCCGGCCATCAATTCGGGCGGTGGTGACTGGCTGATAAGAGCCGTGATGGAGTTTGGTAATGGTCGGTATAAGAGACGGGTTCTGGTGCAGCTTCTGGATGGCCATGTTAATCAGGTCTGAGTGTATGCTTATTCCACCTCCAGCCTCGGGGTCCAGAAGTAGCGGGGCTTCGCGGGCGTCTGCGTCAGAAAAGACGCACGCAAAGGCTTTCTTGCAGAAGAGGAGGTCACCCGCCTTGACCGCTTCGGTTGTAAAGAGCCCGCGCCCCCCGGGGCCGGCGTCTTGGACCCGAACGGGGCCGATATAGGTTGCGCGGTCTAGATACGGAGGCCGCAGCTTGGCGGCCTCTGCGTGGAGTTGCTTGAACTTGTACTCGCCGCGCGTCTGTTCGGCAAGCCGAGCAGTGGTACGGGTCAACTGGGCTTTGGCCGACATATTATGGGGATATTCGAGCAGAAGCTGCTTAAGCACCTCGCAACACTCGGGGTAACGCTCAAGCGCGTAGAGTACCTCGGCCTTACATAGTCGCGCCTTTTCTGCTATATTGCTAGTTACTGCTACCGTGGTCGTCACAAACTCGGCATTTAACAGAGCGGCATCGTATCGTCTAAGTTTGAGGAATGCTAGGGACCGGCTGAGCCTTGCGTTACGTATCGCCTCCGGAGACAATGAACAGGCTAACGGATGGATGGATGGAATTTATTTCGCCCGGAGGCACTGGGCCTATAGGGCCTTAGCACGCTAACTACATCCGGATCAAATCGTTTTGCCTTTAACTCGTACAAGCCCCCTACTTCTTCCCTCTTTCTCGCTGCACCATTTACCTCTTGCCTTGGTTGTTGTTAGCAGATCAGCTTGGAGGCTACTTTCTCCAAGTGTTCAGCGTCCTATCTTCAGCAGCTAAAGCGGGACCTGCTGGTTAAGGCTCGTGGTTGAGGCTCGTGGTGTTGAGTGTCGGCTTCTTCTACTGTGACTGGTCTAGACTCTCCTCCTCATTCAGCTCCAGCCTTCCTGTTGCCATTGCGTATTTGATCGTCGCCCGGACTGCCTTCATATCTGGTGACCAATGCCTTGTATCTGATGGCGCTTTCCCTCCCAGATAGAACGAGAGGCTTCCTCGTCTTGCCACTGTGCATTGCAGCATGTCTTCCCTCAGAGCTGTCCATCTCACGCATCGGAAAAGAAAGTGTTCCACTGATTCCCTCGCTTGTCCACAGAGCACAAAGGTCTGACTCGACCGCCCCAATCCTGCTCAAAAAACCGTTTAGTCTCGCCATTCCAGTTCAGAGCTGCGCCAATACGCAGGCCTCCCTTCGCTTCAGCTTGTCATAGAGATGGCGCGTGTGCTTGCCTGGTAGTGCTGCGTCCATGGCCTTTGAGAACTTGCCCACGCTTACAGGTAGAACTCTTGTCGCCCGTTGTCTTTCCATTGCCAGCCTCATCGCGGTAGACTTGGCCTGGGGTATTTGGGAGTCGGGTGTGCGTCCTTGCTTCGACGCTCTCTGGGCTGCTGCCTTGGCATCTGACCCCAGCGCGAAGTCAATCTCCGCTGGTATCCACAGAAAGTTGACCGAGTTCCCTCTTTGTCGGTGCAGCCTGGCCAAGTCGTAGATTTGCCGTATGATGCTTTGGCCGGATTGCTGCCGCGGCTGTCCAACTGCTGCCAGCGCTGACTGGTTCCTAGTGATCACGGTGATGTGCCTGTGGCAGATGCTAGCCGGTAACTTCTCCAGGGCCATTGCGATGGCTGCTAGCTCTGCTGTATATGGGTTCTGCTCTTCCCTTGTCCCAAGAACAACAGCATAGTTTGTCACAGTCTCGCTAGTTCTGTTGAAGAGAGTATCCCGTGCAAGGCCGCCCATGCCAACAATGCCCTTCTTTACGGATGAGCTGGTTGCGATCACGATTCCCGAAATTTTGTTGACCATCTCGGCCGCCTTCCCTCGATCGGCTTCGAGCGTCGGTCGTAGGCGAGGTACCCAGGGTGGGACGGCGTATTCCTGGATTGTCTCCATCCGGTCAACTCGTACTCCTTCGGCCACGCGGGCAATTTTCTGCAGCGGAGATACGAATCGTACGGTGGTCCGGACTTTCTTCATGGCAAGGGGATGCGTTCCGGGCAGCGTGTGGATGTTGATCCACAGACTGGCTGCCGCCTGGGCGTGTCGTTCTCGTACGGGGTAGATGCTCGCTTCAGCTTCCACCACGGCTGTTGCCGCGGTTCGAAAGGCTCCCGTGATGGCCAGGGCCCCGATCTTCTGCGCCCTGTTCAGCCAGCTCAGTGCCTTTTCCCCGCACGCATGCATCCAGACATTGGCAGCGTAGTCCATGACCGGGGCTACTGTCGCAACAAATAGCTGTCTCGCTGTCCGCGGGGAAAGCATCTTCAGCCTCTTCAGGGCCAGAGCGGCTGCGAGGCCCTTAGCTGCCGTCCTAGCAATGTGCTGCTTGTAGCGGAGTTCGCGATCCATCACGACACCTAGGATTTTCGCACTTTCCTTCGGTTTGACCACTTCGCCTTTGACCGAGAACGGTTGTTCTGAAAATCGCTCCATGTTCCTCGTGAAGTGTATGATGGCTGTCTTTTCGCCTTCAAACTGCGCACCGCTCCGTTTCTCCCAGTCAAGGGCTTTGTCGATGATAGCTTGGATTCCAGTGCGGTTCGACTCCGCTGACGGGCCCGTTACCCAGGCAGTGTAGTCGTCCACGAAGGCAATTGCGCCTCCGTTCGCGTCGATCTTGTGCTGCACTAGGTCGGCGTTGAAGAAGAGGAACAACACTGGAGACAGTGGCGATCCTTGCGGAAGACCCGCTTGGGGCAGCTCTTGCCGTCCAGATGTGAACCCGTTTACGGCAATGGTCGCTGTGCGCTTGGAGCAGAAGGCGTCGATCCACTTGACCAGGGATTCAGGTATCCCTCTTGCCTTGAGCCTCTGGAGAAGCCTGTCTTTGAAGACCCCATTGTATGCGCCCTTGACATCGAAGCTGATCAGACTGAGCACTTTCCTAGCTCTCCATGCTTTGTAGATGTGTTCCTCAAGCAGAAGGAGAGCCTGTTCGGTCGAGCGTCTCTTCCTGGCTCCGAAGTGGTTGGCGGGTAGAAGGCCGCAGGTCTCCACAGCATGGGATAAACGCTCCGCAATGACTGCCTCCAGTATCTTACCCAGCGTGGAGAGCAGCGAGATGGGTCTCCAGGACTTGGCTAGAGTGTATTCGCTCTTCCCTGGCTTCTTCAATGGGATGATCTTGGCATTCCTCCACTGGCTGGGGATGTCGCCGTCTCGAAGTGACGTCCGGAATAAATGGAGCACCCTGTCTTTGACCACTGGCCAGAGCTGTCTCCATACCATTGCCGGTAGACCGTCTTCCCCGGGCGCCTTCCATGGCTTAGCGGACAGGACCTTTTGTTCTATCTCCTCCATTGTTAGGTCTGGCATGTGTACCGGCGCCCGTTGAGGTCGTTGGCCCTCGTCTTCGATTCTCGCTGGCAAAGGTGGGAAGAAGGCGGTGAGTAACTCCTGCGCTTGTTCTGCTTTACCCTCCGTGATGGAGCCATCGGGTCGGACGAGCGGGGGTATCTTATCGCCCATCGTGCCGCTGCCGGTTTGCAGGTACTTCGTTGCTTGCCAGATGTTAGCGTCATCGGCCAGGAAGTCGTTCCAATGCGAACTCTTCTGTCTGCGGATGGCGTCGTGGTACTCTTTGGCTGCCATCCTGGCTCGTTGTTCGAGCTCTGGTGCTGTTTGCCCAATCCTACGTCGAGATCTCGCCAGGTTTCTCCAAAACGTGTATGTCTGGCGAAGCCGTGTCAGGTCTGTTGTCCACCACCGCTTGGCGTATGGTGAGGGCTTGGCTTTAGAGTGTCAGGGCGTAGACCGCCTCGGTTACCGCTGCCATGAGCCTGTCCGTCTGCTGCTGGACATTGCCGTCCCAGGGGATGCGTTCGAGGTTTGCTGCCACCCTAGTCCTGAATTTCCGTCCAGAGGCGCGTTCTTGAAGAGGAACCTCGTCTCAACTGGGACGGTCCTCCACCGTGGTGTCAAAATCTGTCTCGATTGCTCTGTGGTCTGAGCTGAGCCATGGTCGCAGGGGTGAATCGTGCATCTAGTCTAATTCTTTAGCGACCAGTAATTTGGTTGGCCCCCCGGGTCACGTGACCCAGGTCCTCGGCGCAAGCCGCCGTGGGCTTGTTCTGACACGCCGGACGCGTCTTGAACGCGACTAATTACAGTCCACCCTCTTATCGGCCGAGCTATCGTTGAAGAGGGATTTACGTTTACAGAGTCCGCGTGGCGGAGCATTCGAAAAATAAGGGAGAGGTTCATCGGCGAGAGGCGATCGAGACCAGGAACCTTTTTGCGAAAGTCGGGCGGCACTGCCGAGGGACTGCAAGATGGCGGCGGAGGCGCAGCCTCAAATCGTGGTCGAGGTGGCCGACCAATTACTTTCGCCGAGACGACCGAGCCGCGCGTTGAAACCGAGCGCGAAAGCTCGCGAAGCCATGCAATCGCTCGAGGACGTGGCTACCACGTCGAGGAGAGCGGCGAGCGAGACCACGCGGGCGGTTACGACGCGAGGAGCACGCGCGTCCGGGATTTTATATGGAGCCAACAGCCGGATCGAGACGGGGAAGTCAGGTATACAGATGCTCCTGGAGGCGATCAACGAACAACGAGACGAAATGTACCGAATGATTACCGAGCAGCGAAACACGATTGGCGAACTACGCGAGGTGATTTGCAAGCAGCACGACGCGATTCAAGAACTACATCGCCAACTTGCAGACACCAGGACCCAGCTGTCTGAAGAACTGAGACAAGCGCTTGTAGAATTGCTATTACAGTTTACAATACAATAGAAAGCTTATTCAATCTATGAAGACTAATTGCTCTACTTGATGATCCAAAATCATCAAGTCTCGCGGGGCATGGGGCCCGAATATACTACCTGGTAATGACCGTGGAATACCTTCGTACCCTCATCGAAGACCCGGGACCCGAGCGATCCTGCTCGGCACACGTGTCCTGGTTCCTTCAGCCAACAATTGTCCCCGCACCAGGCCCTCTCCCGGCCAGGTCGTGACATCCGGCCCGCTTGGTCAGTGGCCACCACTAGCAGATCAGCGCCGTATCGCCCGGCCGGCGGGCGGAGTTCGGGGCCTCCGGGCCGGAATGGACCCAGTCTAGATGCGGCTGGGTCCAGAGCGACGGGGTGATGATGGCGCGGTCATCGTTAGTGTCGGGCGGCTGCTGCTGGCTGCTCAGCCCCACCGTCTTGATTTCCAGTACGAAGGATTTGCCGGTCTCCAGTACATAGCGGACGGCCTCGCCCACGGCCCAGTTGACCTCGTGCGGGCGCTCGATGTGTTTGCCCTCGATGCCGGCCATAGCCTTGGCGATTCCGACGAAGTCGGGCTGGGGGCCACGGATGGTGAGATAGCCGGGGTCCATAGTGCGCGGCTTCCAGTCGTAGCCCATCGCCTCGCCATAGACCTGGACGATAGTCCCGAGTCCCACCTGCAGCGTGTGGTATTCGGAGTTGTTGGTAATAGAGGATTCCCAGATTGCGGTGCGCCGCCGTCCACCAGGCCTGCGGATAGAACAGCGAGGAGCCGTCGCCGGTGACGGCCACCACCAGTTTGGTGCCGATTCCCTGCACCCCACGCTCTTCCTCCTTGATGCCGATGGTGGCGCCGAACGACCAACCGAGCGAGCCGCCGCCGACGCAATAGTAGCTGGTCGGTGCGGCGTAGGGCAGTAGATACTGGAAGGGAGAGGGATCAGAAATGGCCTCGTGGACGTAAACGAAATCGCGCTCAAGCTTATGCTGCTTGATCTGCTGGCGCAGTGCGTCGGCGATCACCACCGCCCACACATTGTCCTGAACCATCGCCCGGTCCAGATACCGCTCCCAATGCTCCCGCCGTTCGACGGCCCGGCGGGCCAGTGTATCGTTGCGCTGTGTGACGAGTGATTGGACGACCATCTCCCTCACCTGGGCGGTGATCTGCGGCAGGGCGACCTTGATGTCGGCGAACACAGCGGCATCACCGTAATAGTTCTTGCCGATGTCCCAGATGCAGTTGCTAAGATAGAGCTTGCTGACCGAGTCGGGGATCAGCGGGCCGTCGGGCGGTTTGTAGATCAGCACCTGGGCCTGGTTGGAGAAGCCGCACAGAAAAGCGACATCGTGGCCTTTCGAATGCCGACTGCATGCCGGCCTGATTGTTAGGCAGTTCGCCCTGCCAATGGGAATCGTCATTGGGATAATTGGCGACGGCGCTCAAGGTCTGCTACAGGACCGGCGCGCCGGTGGCGTGAGCGAGATCGCGAAGTTCCGCCCAGGCATCGGCCAGTCCGACCGCGTCGCCGGCGACGATCAGGGGATTCTTCGCCGCCGCTAACCGGCTGGCGAGGATGCGCAAGCTTTCCGGATCGGGTCCGAAATGGGGCGAAATTCGGGTAATGCCCTGAAGCGATCGCCTTCGGGAATCCGGCGCATGGTGAATTCTCACGGCACGGAGAGGAACACGGCGCTGTTCGGCGGGGCCATCGCCTTCTTTGAAGGCGCGCTGCAGCACCAGCTTCATATCGTCCTCGGACTTCATCTCATGGGCCCATTTGCAGTAGTTGCGGGCGAGGGGGACGGTGTCGGACGACAGCAAAGGCTCCTGCACCACCAGCGCGTTCTGCTGCTGGGCGCACAGGATGATCAGCGGGAACTGCGAGCGCGACGCGTTGAACAGGTTGGTGATGGCGTGGGCGATGCCAGGGGTGACGTGGACGATCAGGATGGCGGGCTTGCCGGTCATGCGGGCCGAGCCCATGGCCGCGCCCATGGCGATGTTCTCGTGGAGGCATTCGACATATTCGACGCCGTTCTCGGGATAGGAGGTGCCGTCGATCCAAGGGATTTCATTGACCCCGGGAACGCCGAAGATTCGCGTGATTCCCAATTCGCGGCAGACATCGAAAAGATAGTCGCGCGCCCAACGGGGGGGGCGCTGGGGCAGAAGGCCGGGAATGCCGGGGACGGGGGGCAGCGTGTGAGTGTCGGCCGAGGTGCTCTCCATCGCTTCCAGGTTGAAGCCCGAGGAACAACCTCACGCGATCAAAATCTCTTAAGGAGCCTGAAAGCCCTTCAAGATAAATGCTCGTTGAAATTGTGTTTCCCGCTTCACTGGTCGCAAAGCTGATATTTTTCAATAACTATACTAGCAAATACTTTCCAAGAAGCAGGGTTGATTGTACAAGTTTCTCCGGTGACTTTAAGACTTTAAGTAGACGTTTAAATTCTACATAGGTACGGTACCTAGGTACATGTATACAACTTCAGAACCGCCTCCTCTTCCGGCTTTCCTATTAGGTAAAATACTGCCTTACGTTTAAGGCCACTGGCCCACTACACCCGATAAAGATGGGTAGTAGTTGAGGCCTCCCCCGCTCTTCATTTTCCCGCAGACGTGGAACTAATGCATTATGCCTCTTGGTACCCATACTCTCTAACGGATTGCGGTGCAACTAACCGCGTGTGGCATAGGATAAGGATGATTGGTTAAATCTACTATCACCGAGTCACCGAGTCACCGAGTCAAGGAGTGTGATATAACATCAGGAAATAGAAGGTTACATAGCAGTAAGGGTAGGTAGGAAGATACGCACTTGGTGTGCCACTGCAGCTCTTGGTATTGGCCGCTCCCGCAGCATGTCATTTTTGATAGGCGACTCGGAGGTGTTTTTGAAGCTCTCAGCTCTCATGCGAGCCACGTCGTACCGGATCGAGACTCAGCAACTTCCTGACATGGCTGTAATGCTCGCTCGCTAAGCGCAACTGAGGAGCTGAACAGTCTACAGCTTGGGTCTAGACTCGGCAATTTCCTGATATGGGTTATAAGGCTCGCGGGAGAGGCGAGTCCGCACTACGGTTGACAGAACGGGCATCCAGCAAAAAGAGACAGAGTGGGCGGTCCGGATCGCCGTAAGCAGCTCCGCACGAAACAACATGGTCGGGATCGGAGGAGTCGTCCGTCTCCCGCTGCCGATGCGAGATGGCTCAAGGAACGAAGCCTTTAGTGTGACGCTGGGCTCCAGGTCGGAGCAAAACCCGTTCTCAGGCGAGCTTGCGGCTATTGGGTACGCGTTGAGGTTGATTCGAAATATCAGGTACCGAAAGATCATCCTTGCCACCAGCAACAAGGCAGCCGTGATGGCCTTGGAGCGACCACACCAGCAATCAGGACAACAATATCTCTGTCAGGCGTACGATGCGATAAGTGCCTTACGCAAGGCGGGAAACACGATCTCGGTCGTCTGGATCCAAGCGGGTACCAAAAACGAGCTCCTGAACACAGCCAAAGCGAAAGCAAAGGAAGCAACACGGCAGGACGCTACGCCACAAACGCATGATCCTGCCATGCGGTCAACAGCCCTCCGTATCGCATGGGCAAAGCGGGCACCGCCCACGTCCTTACCTGACAAAGTGGGCAGACATTCCAAGAGAGTCGATATAGCGTTACCAGGGAAGCACACCCAACTATTATACGACCACCTGTCCCGAAGCGAGGCCGGCGTGCTTGCTCAGCTTAGAACAGGCATGGCCAAGCTCAACACATACCTGCATCGCATCAAAGCAGCACCGTCAGACCCAGTGTACGTGTGGACAAGCTCAGAGAGACAGTGGACTCACTTTCCTCCTTCCGATGCAAGCAATGGGATCAACACTCGTAGGGAGATGCTGCAATGTACCGGATGTCCACTAGGGGGAAACCTCCTTCCTTTCTACCTGGGAGGAAAGTCGCGCTCGGATGACAAGGACTGGTCCCCCAACATGCGGGCGGTGCGGGCGACGATACGTTTTGCCATTGCCACAGGTCGTCTGAGGACTGAACAACAACAGAATGAAGCAAACTAACCTCACCATCCTAAACCCCGACTAACAAACCCCCTTCATCTCGTGTCACACGGAGTAAGCGCGCTTCAGCCGCCGAAGATAGGACGTTGGACACTTGGAGACTAGCCTTCAAGCCAGCTTACTATTCGTACAACTAACCCACGAGCATCCGCAGCAGAGAGGGCAAAATTGTAAGGAGATAAGCCAGAAAAGGAGGATGTACGGGCTTCATGAGATCAGGATCCATTTTAGGATATGTATTAGTAGGGTTGCATGATAGTTGCCCTTTCGGGTTAGGGCCCGCCGGGCGGAATAAATTTGTGTGTGTGTGTGTGTGTGTGTATAAGGCTCGCGCGCCAAGCGGAACTGAGGAGCTGAGGAGTCTACAGCTTGCGTCTAAACTTGGCAACTTTCTGATATGGTTGTAAAGCTCGCGCGTCAAGCGCAACCGAGGAGTCAATATGAGAAGGCTAGCCACGGTTCAGGTAGAATCACAACTTTCACATTTCGACCGGTCTAGCCGCCCTTACCAATGACATCTCTTGCCGCCCCTCCCCGCAATGAGTAAAATAGCCCCTACCCTCTCACTGTACGTCGATTTGTCAACTACGGTGCGGGGTGGTAAAGAGATCACGGTTCAGCTTTCAGCTAGAATCACAACTTCCACATCTCGACCGGTCGAGCCGCCTTTACCAATGATATCTCTTGCCCCCCTTCCCCCTCCTCCCCCAATGAATCAAATAACCCCGAGCCTGTCATTGTACTATGGTGCGGGATGGTAAATAGACAAATTAAGAGAGAAAAACCCTCTGCACGCCGTAAATGCGTAAGTGCCCAACCCCCACGACCCTTCGGCGAAAGACACTCCGTCAGGTTGTCTAGAACAGGGGCGGGGTTGATACCGCCCGGGCTTCCCGGGGCGACGTCCTGCAAAGCGGGGTTCGTCTTTCGATTGTCCCTCGAGGATTCATTCTTGAGGAGGCCGTGGGACCTAGAGCTGAAGAAGCCCGATATGAATATCTACAAAGCTGCCGGTCGACGACCCCAGAAAGACGCAGGATCTCAGCGACATCCAGCCCCTCCCCCCCAAAGTCTTCTACTCACACTACTCTTGGAGATTTCTACGGCATCCAGACAACACCATCCAGACAACACCGCCTCTCATGTCGACTCAACTTCGCTGGGGTCATTCTCTGACCATCAGGCAGCAGTACGCGCTTGCCGCTGCCGAGCAGGAGATCGCGCGGGTTATTGACAATGAGAGAGTTCCCCTCGACAATTTGCCCCCCGGGTTGGGTGGCGGACTCCGCGAATTGCCTGATATAGCCCCCTCCAACGACATTCAGGAGTCCCTAAAGAACCTGAGTCTTGAACGCATCCAACGTCCGCCTACTCCGCCGAAGGTAGCTATTGTCGGCGCCGGTGTCTCTGGGCTGTTTCTCGGCATGATGCTCGACTATCTGAACGACCACATCCCCGAGTTCAACGTCGGCTACGAAATCTTCGAAGCCAACGACGCCTCTCGGGTGGGCGGACGGATGTTTACCTACAACTTCAAGCCACATCCGCCCCATAACCCACAGGGCCCGCACGACTACTACGACGTGGGCGCCATGCGGTTCCCTCATAATCCCATCATGCAGCGCGTGTTTGAACTGTTTGATTGGCTGGATATGCCAATGGGCCCGCTGGAGAAGGATTCAAAGAATGGATCGCTTGTCCCCTACAGTATGACCAACCTCACGGGAAAAGATCAAAACGAGCCCTTCCGCTATAACGACCTGACAAAGTGGGGATCTTATGTCAACATCGCTGCTGCTGCCCGGGGCAATGATGCTTTTGAGTTCAATGAGGATCGCAAAGACCCCCTAATCCCATCAGCGTACGTTCACCCTTCCCCTGAATCCCCTCTTGCATATTTCGATATATACGGTATACCTACCAGGAACATCAAGGCTGACACGCTCGGCTGTCCAGCGTCCTCGCCATGAGTCCCAGCAAGGTTGTTGACGATGCCGTTGAAGACCCTGCGCCCGGCTCTGCAGGAAGATGCAGGAATATGGAGGGCCAGCGGGGTTGGGAACTGCTGAATGAAGTTTGACCAATACACCACGCGTGCCTGGATGGCTACGAACCAGCAGAAGCCACCGAACACCACCACACCCGACCCCACACGGCCGCCCTTCAACACGAGCACCATCAACTTTCTCGAGAGCCATGAATGGGTAGGGATTCCAGTCATTCCACCCGTCCCCACTACAACCTTGACACCTTTACCGCTAGCTAAGGTAGCAACCACCTCGCTAACAAAGATGCACAGCGGCACCGACTGGTATGACCAAGCGTTCAGTGAGACGGTGCTCGAGTCGCTCGACTTTGACTATGACAAGTCCACCAAGTGGTGGTGCATCATGGGCGGGTCACAGCAGCTCCCGATGCTGATGGAGAAGCGGCTCAAGACCAAGCCCATCTATTCCTCGCGTGTCTCCGCCCTTCGCAACGTCCTTAAGTTTAACCCGCCTAACCCGCTCACGTTTGGGGTGGAAGTCTCGCTCCAGGGTGACGAGACCTCCAAGCGCCGCGTCTACGACGGCGTCTTCAACACCACCACGCTCGGCTGTCTCCGGCGCATCGACACGACGGAATGCTACTTGCCCAATAGCACCAAGACGGCCCTCCGCGTGCTCGCTTACGGCGAGTCGTGCAAGGTTGGCATCAAGTTCTCGAGCGGCTGGTGGCGCCAGACGATGCCCGGCGGCCATCGGGTCGAGAAGGGCGGGCTGGGCCACTCGGACCTGCATATCCGCACGGTCGTGTACCCCTCGTACAACGTGCTCGACGACCCCTCGCAGCCGTCCGTGCTCCTCGTCTCGTACACGTGGCAGCAGGACGCGGAGCGCATCGGCGCCCTGATCTCGCGGTCCTCGCCCGCCGGCGAGGACGAGCTCAAGGCGCTGCTGCTGCGCGAGCTGGCGCGGCTGCACACGACGACACGCGAAGACGAGGATAAGCTGTTCGCCACCATCTCGGCGTCCTACCTCGACCACTACGCCCACAACTGGTCCGACGACGCCACGACCGCCGGCGCCTTCGCCTTCTTCCGCGCCCAGCAGTTCAGCACGCTGTGGCCCAAGGTCGTGCAGCCAGCCGGCAACCTGGTGATGATCGGCGAGGCGTCGAGCCCGCACCACGCGTGGGTCGTCGGCGCCATCGAGAGCGCCGTCGCCGGCCTGTACTCGTGGCTCTACAGCCGCATGGACCTCCCCGGCGCCAAGGAGGCCGTCTGGCTCATCGACGGCACCACGCCCGTCCCAAGGGACTCCCATAAGCATCCGCCCTTCCTGGGCCTGCCGAGCTATCTGCCCAAGAATCACGCGCGCTGGATGGGATTGATTTCGGCCTTGAGAACCGAGAGGGCGGCGAAGAGGGAGTAGGGAATCATCTCAACTCCAGTCGAATGAGCCCGGACTTGGTCGTATGTATCAAAATGTTCAAGTGTTGGAAACCAAGGCTCCGGGAAACAACTAGGAACAGGTGGAATGGTGATGGTAGCCACGGAACACGGAATCTTTGCCACTCTCCACGAGCTGGAAGAACAGGTGTTTTGACAAAGCCAGACTACGAGAAAGAGAAGCATTACATTGAGTTACGCAGTTGCAGAGAGACTGTCCAACAAGCACTGTCGGTAGAACTTAAAACATACCAGCAAATACCTAGCGTCCTAGCCTAAAGTATACTCGTGACGTTTCCTTCATTTCCGGTTACCGGCCTACAGGCCTCATTAGCTACTGTACCTAAGGTAGGTAAGCAAGCTGTTGGATTCGCCACATGGAATCTTCTGGTGGATACCAGCAACTGATCTCTCAGGGTGGCTCAATGCTAACACTTTGCCCATCGCCACTGTGGCATGCTGTGGCAAACCATAGCATGATATATAGCCTGATTTCTCTTCCTCGGATCAGAAGCATAAAAACAATCAATCAATTCTTTCTCCCCATCTTTCGATCTGAGTGTCGTTTCCAACAGAAGCTTTGCAAATCATTGCCGACATACTCAAGTGGCAGAAAAGTGAGGGCCACGGGATGCCGATGGACCTTAATGCGGCAACCGAGATACGCCACATAATCCAAGGGCACAGCACCGGTGTCCGCTTCCTTAAGGTTGGGCCCTTGGTCAAGGCCAAGTTCCAGTCATACGGGAGGGGCAAGCCGGGGGATTACGCCGACCTCCTCTTTGTCTGCACACATCCCGAGTACAAGGAAGAGGTGAGTGCGGTTGCGGATGAGATACGTTTGGACAAGAGGGAGGCGTTTGTTCAGGAGCTGTTGCAGGCCTGCGTGAGCTCGTGTGAGGGGGTTCGAGCTGTTTTGTAAGATAAATAGTCCGATCAAGCTCCTTCGGCGTTTCTCGTTAAGTACCTAGTTCTATGCCCGGCTTGCACAGCATGCATAATAACCTCAACCAAACACGTGTATTGGGCCCTGAAGACCACGGGGGTCTCTGGCAACATGTTAGTACCTTACCCTGGGTGGGGTATCGTCGTCGGCTACGCCATTATCTGGCAGGCTTAAACGCTTGAAGGCGCGACTAATTTCGTTCTCGCATCCATGATACCAATCAGCGAAGCGAATACATTGGGGGCGGTAAACGGAGGCTTGGCTCATTGATGATTTTGCCCCCATTGTCAGAATACGGGATTCACTGGTCCAATCAGGCAATCAAGTATGGTTGTTGTCCGCGCTTCTTCCGCGTCCGTTGTATTTTTCGGTGTGTCCTCGTTCAGACTCCGACATGTGGGTCCCCTTGGGGTTTTTTACCCGTCGAAATGAGAAGTGATGGTTAAGCTAAACATGCCCCGTTTTCTTCATATCCGAAGCCTCCACCCCGATATTCTGACACCCATTATAGATCATTTCCGCGGGATGGTTGGGGGCGGAAAAGAAGGGGGTGGCATTTCACTTTTGCCTCTGTTGTATCTTTCTTCGTCTTCCTTTCTTTTCGTTGTTGCAAATTTCGAATGTCATGTGGACGGAAGCTAGACGACACTGTCTTCAGAAATATTCGCAATGTTAATATGGGGACTTATCGTTGCCGTTTGGGCCGGGGGGTCCCTCGCGGCGGGGTGTCCTCAGCCTCCCCCGCCGTTATCCTTCCCCCTTGCTGATACCCAAGTCGATCCTCGTGTCCCTGGGTCCTTGATGAGAGGTATACCTGTGAGAATCGGCACACCGCCCCAGAAACTTGTTATGCTTCCCTGGCCGTGAGGTTCCCCCCCCTCTCTCCCCTCCCCTCCCCAGGACTTATTACCGCGGAACCCCGGGAGGGACTGACACCTTGGGGGGATAGAGACTTGAACAATACGTACATTTACGACGACTAAACCGCTTGCAACACCAACTTGATCGATAACGAAGAGATTTGCCGTGTACGCCGAGGTGGACACTACCACGAAGCTGAATCGACCAGCTTCACCAAGACAACCGACCTCATTGATGCGGGCGGTGCCCCCGTAGAGATCAATATCCTAGGCTCGGAGTCCGGGATTCCTAAACTCGTCTCCTCCAGCCTAGCTGGTACGGATCGGTTTGCTGCCGGCGATAAAGAACCTGTGACGCTCCCCGTGGGAATCCCACGGTTACAATGGGACGGCGGCTTTACGATTTCCCATGCGCTCGGCTTGGGGCCTAACTCAACTTACCTTAACGCCCTGGTAGCGGCACGCCAGATCCCTTCCAGAGTATGGTCCATCTTTTGGGGCCGCATGTGGACGGGTAGTGCGGACATGGATGGCGGAATCGTGCTCGGCGGGTACGACAAGGAAAAGGTGATTGGGAAGAACTTTACGGCGCAGCTTGATTATAGCGAGAATATGGGGTGCTGGACCGGTATGAGGGTCATTATCGTGGACGTCATCGCCAACTTTCCGTACGGGGCCGATGTGAGTATCATGTCAGGCAACCTCCCGGTAAGGTCCTGCATTGTTCCACAACGCCAGCTCTTGTGGGAAGTCCCGGCCGATATCGCGACCGAATTGCGGAAAAAGACGGGATTGGTGTCCTCTTCTCCTGCCATGTCACAAACTGCATTCCACGCACTCGCCACGATGCTCAACACGACGGCAACTGGTTTAGTGTAAGTGAGCGCAGTCAGATAAGTACCCCAGCAAAAGTGACGACGCTGACAAATCCCGGTTTGTTATAGCTTTGACGGCGACTTAACCTTTGTCCTGTCTTCGGGTCTCCGCATACGGGTGCCAAACAACCAGTTAATCGTCCCTCGAATTGGGTATGCCGAAGACGGTTCCCGTGTCATCGACCAATCTCAAAAGGACCTCCTTGTATACTCCGTTACGGGCAACCAGCCATCAACCCTCGGCCGCTACCTCGTAACTGCGGCGTATCTCATGATAAATCACGAAGCCGGCACATTCACTATGTGGCAAGGGAATCCATCACGCAAGAGCACTCTAGTTCCGGTATCCCAAACTAGCGAGCAATGCAGTCCAGAGAGTAGCGGAGATGGTCTCGGAACCACCGACAACGGTAATATGGATGGTGGAGGGAGAGGCGGTAGTAGTGGAAACAGCGGGGGACAAAACGAGCCCGAATCGGATCCTACAACGGAGACATCCGTGAGCGTTGGTACAATTGTGGGCGCGGCCGTGGGCGGCGCAGCAGGCCTGGCTTGTATTGTGGCCCTGGTGGTGTTCTGCCTGTGGAAACGACGGCGGCAGCGAGGTACGCGGACCGGTGGCTTCCTACCGGATGACGGCCCCGTGGCACATATCGATAACACGGAGCCAAAGGAGATCGGGAGCCTACCACCCAGGGTCACGGAATTAGTAGCAGAGAGCCTCCGTCCAGAGCTCAGCGGTGATTTTCGAGGGTATGAGCTACACGGGTCTGGACCGTACGGAGGAGTGCTGAACAGGGGGGGTGGATATTAACTGAACCGGCCCGGGGGCTGAAAGAGCGAATAGATGCGAGCGTTGGTTGTATAAACCACCAAGGACCTAATCATTAGACAAACTCTCGAAACAGATAGCGATGCGCATATTTCAGTCTTCATTCCTTGCCCCCTTTTCTCCGCCCTCCGCCCCTGACAACCACACAACCACCCCAACAAACAAACAAACAAACAAACCCCTAACTACCTAGGTACCTAAACACACTCACACCCCCAAACCCCCCTCCCCCGCCATCACAAAATGCGACCCGCCCGCACACCGCCACCCCCCAACCTGCTGAATCCACTCATACCCAGCCGGACACAACCCCATCGCCTTCAACCTTCTCCTCGCCTCCTCCGCCTTCTTGCGCGCCTCCTCCTCCGCCAACAACCTCTTGACGATCGCATCCCGCGCCGCGTCGCTCGCGGTCTTGGCCGCCTGCTTCAGCTGCTGGTACTCGGCCTCGCGCTGCTCCTGCAGCTGGCGGTCGTGCTGGAGCTGCGCCCAGACGATGTCGCTGACGCCGGCGTCGCGTTTGGGGATGGGGGAGGGCGGGGGCGGTTTGTGCGTGGTGTCGGTTGGTTTGGGGCGGGTGGTGACTTTGGTGGGGGGTGGGTTGGTGTTCTCGGGGGGTTCGGTTGGGGATGGGGGAGGGGGGGCGGTGGTTTGGGAGGTGGAGGTGGAAGTGGAGGTTGATGGTTAGGGATGAGAATATGCGTGTTTGGGGTGGAGGTTGTTGGAGGAGGTCATTGAGGTTGAAGGAGGGGGTTTGTTTGGCGGAGCTGGCCCGTGATGCGCGCTCCTTCAGCATGCCCCCGAGCTCAGTGGTGATGACAGCCTCGGTGAGGACTAGGATGCCCTGGGCCAGGCCCTCTTTGTCGCGGAGCGTCTGGTTGAAGATGTTCTTCGATAGGGCTTGGACATCCCGCGCGCTGGCCCAGTTGTCTTGGGCTGCGAGATCCCGGAATGTCCGAAGCAAAGACTGTCTGAACGGAATGGTGGGTGTTTCGAGGCAGGAAATGTCAAACTGCTTCTTGCTCTTCTCCATGAGAGTCGTCTTTTGCTTTTTCAACAGCTGGAGCATCAGTGCGACGCATTCCTCGGCCGTCAGCGCCCGGAAATTAATCACCTCCGGGAACCGCGAGGTTAGGCCTGTGTTGACCGTCATCAGCCGGTTGATATCAGCCTCGTACCCGGCCAGGATAATGACAAGTTTCTTGTAATACCGGTCTTTGGTAACCGAGTCCACTATCTCATCCATGGCTTCCTTGGCGAAATGTCCCTCTGCCAGCCGGTACGCCTCGTCGACGAAGAGAACCCTTCCAAGGGCTTTGTCAAAGAGCTGCTGAACCTTTGGTCCTGTTTGACCGACATATTGTCCGATCAGGTCCGTGGCAGAGCACTCGACCACTTCGGCTGCGGCGATGAAGCCCATGTCGTAGAACACCTGGGCCCATCTTCTTAGCCGTGGTCGTTTTGCCTGTCCCAGGTGGGCCCCGAAAGAGAAAGTTGAAGGGTATGTTTTCCTTGGGGTCCATTTCCAAAGACTTCATTGTGCGAACGGTGTCCTGGTAACCTTGGAGCAGCGTGACGATTTGCTCGGAGCCGACTGTGGCTTCGAAAAGTTTCTGAACATTGGTTTCAGACTTTGCTGCCCGGTCAAAGTTCTCGTCAAAGTCCAGTGCTTCTAAAAGGCTGGCGGACTTTGCCTCTCCTTTCGAGAAACGAGACTGATGACGGGCTTTGGTAGCATCAAGGAGGCTGTCAATTTCGCCTACATTGCCGAAGTTGGGTCGATTCCGTGCTCGGTTGAGCATTTCCATCGCCACGTTCGCCGCTTGATCCGTGACCTGATAAGCTTTGCTGCTTGAGCTTGAGGTCGAAGATGCTGCGCATCTCCTCGTGTGTGTAATCCTCAAAATTGAACCCGGAGGCAATGGGGAAACGCCGGCTCAACCCAGGATTGACATTTTGAAACATCTCCTCCATCTGGCTTTTGTACCCGAGTAGCAAGACACAACGATCGTCGCCTGGAACGCTTTGGACATCTGCTACGATGGTGTCGATGACGGCGGTTTTGTACGGATCCGACGTCCCGCTCTGTGATCCACCACCATAGAGGCCGTAGGCTTCGTCAATGACGAGAACCTTGCCAACCGCTGCGGCGAGGATGGCCTTTGTTTGCTGCTCTGATTGTCCCAGATGGGCGCCGACGAAGTCAGAGGGGTTCCTGGTAATAACTGCAGCCATGTTAGTGCTGATGTATAGTGAATACCCCCGTGTAGCTTGGCTTACCTTCCCCCTTGGACAACAACCCAAGGGATACCAAAATAGCTCCATACAGATTTGCCACAGTCGTCTTTCCAGTGCCGGGGTTACCGAGGAAGACCTTGTTGAGTGAGTACTGGATCGGGGGTTGCTCTTCCAGTTCCCGGATGTAGTTCTGCTGGATGGTGTCGACAAGGGACATGACTGCCTGTTTGACAGCCCCAAGACCAATCAAGCCCTGGAGTTTCTTCCAGGCTTCGCATTTGGTAAGTGCCTCGCCCGGCTCCGGCCCAATCAAGTCCTCCTTGGTAAAGAAGAGATCGTTTGGCTTGGCACCCTTCATCTTGCGTTCTCTTCGCAGGCGGTTCGCTTGTCTGCGAGAGATCTTGTCCAAGGCGTTCTCAACGGCTCGGGCATTACCAAAGCCTTCCTTTCCACGCGAATATCCAATGCGTCTAGAAACAATGCGGCAATACAACCCAGTCAATCCGTCCTCGCAGGTCATGTTGTCATTGTACTTCTTGTTGACCTTGAGCTCCAAGATTTTCAGGAGCTCCTCGTCCGTATAATCTGCAAATTTCATGTCGACGGGGAAGCGGCTGGGGAGCCCTGGGTTGTGAGCAAAAAAGCTCTCCATCTGCTTGTTGTACCCAGCAAGTACAAAGACGACCTTGCCCCTGAGATTCTCCACTTCGGCGAGCAGGTAGTCCAGGACGGCTCCTCCGCCTGGGCTGTTGCCGGAGGTCAATTGATAGGCCTCGTCGATGAACAACACGCCGCCGCCCTCATTAAGGATTTCGTCGACCAAGCTTTTGCAGCCCGAAACGCCCATGTTTGCCAGGCCAGCGCCGGTATTTTCTTTAAAACACGAGCCGGGAATGACGCAAAGCTCTGTCAGAAACTGGGCGTACATGCGCGCGACTGTCGTTTTCCCTAGAGAGATGTCAGAATTAAGAGAAAGAAAAGGGGTGGGCCACAGAGAGAAAGAGATTGAAGAAATTGGAACAAACTCACCAGTTCCGGGATTTCCCAGCATGGAGCAACTGAATCTCTCTTCCTTCATCGTAATTCCTTGCCGCAAGGCAGTGTCGACTTTTGACTTGACGCTGAGGAACTCCTGCTTGACCTCTTCCAGTCCGATCATTTCCATCAAGTCGTCGAGTGGTTTGCTCTGTGCTCCCTCGTACTGCTTTAAGAAATCCCATTCTGCTTGGGCACCACTTGACCAGTCAGGCTCCTTGGACGACGTGGCGAACTTTTTGTCTTTTGATCGCGTGGCGGCGGTCGCCTTCGCCTTCGCAGCTTGTTCTGCTGCCTCTTCCAGGAGCTTGTTCTGTTGACGAAGTCTCTTTTGTGCGTCTTTCAAGGCCTCGAGGTCAGAAAGTTGCTGCTCGAGTGTCTGCTTGCGCAGCTCCTCTTCGGCCTCGTACTTGTTGATGCGACGCTGATGATCGATTTCGTCCTGTATCTCCTGGAGCTTCTTGGTGTACTCGGCCTCGCGCTGCGCGCGGTCTTGTTCCAGCTGCAAATCGCGCTTGACCCTCCGCTCCGTCTCTTTGTCTTCTTGAATACACTTGTGGCAGCCGTCTTTTTGCTTCCCGCAGAGGACCTTAGTTTTATGTTTCCTATCGCACACCCTTGACACCAGTTGTTTGCATTCTTGGCGGCTGTGGTCGACGACACGATGGCATCGGGATGTGCATTTGTGGACGCCACATTTCAGGGGGGCATCGCTGTATGTCGTTAGCAAAGCTCTGTGCCGCCACTCCAAAAAAGAAGCTACATACCATAACTCAGTGCACCCTCCGTCAGGGCACGACTTGTCAAAGTCCAATGGGTCCTTGAGCAACGCCGTTCTCTTTGGATGTTTGCCGCAATACACGGGGAGACCATCGTACAGATGTCCCTTGCTCTTGAGTAGGTCGAAAAAGGGATGCCAAGTGGCCTTTCCTTTCTTACTATTCATGAAGGTGTCCATGTTGCCGATGAGCACGATGCCGTTCCGAGCACGGGTGATCAAAACATTCAAGCGCTCTGGGGCCGACATGAAACCGATATCTCCGGATGGGTTGCTGCGTGTAAGTGAAGCAATCACGATATCGCTTTCCTCACCCTGGTAGTTATCTAATAGTTGGTTAGTGTGTGCTACCACTGGGGCTAGAGACGAAGGCACAGACCTATTGTGGATATGCGGAGAGGCTTCTTGTCGAGGTTGGCGGCCGCTGCGCTTATCAGTCCAGCCCGGATCAGTTCGTTCTTGTCCATCTCGCTCAGTGCAGGGTCATGCTGGTTCTTGGCCAGGAGATCCCGTAGGACACGCAGCTGGCCCAGATAAGGTGTCAAGATGACAATCTTGTCCGAGGCGTACCCCTGCTGGCCGAGATACTTGACGCACCGCAGGACCATCTCTGCTTCGAATGTGTTTTTCTTGCTCTCCTTCATGCCGGGGTCACGGCGGTCTCGAAGCTGCTTGTCCGTATCTTCTTGTTTGGTGTGATTCAGGAAGATCACTCGGTCCTGCAGCCCGAGTATCTCCGGCCGACCGCTGGTCTTGGCTCCATCGAGCAAGTCTGGATAAGTGAGCTCACGGGCAAAGACGGAGATCTCGGGAACCATCCGGTGTTGCTTGAGGAGGGTCGCGTGATTTGCGCCCTGCAGAATGAGGCGCTCAAAGAGCGAGCGGTTAAGGTCAAAACCATCACCTCTCTCGACAGAAAGCGCGTAATTGTTGATCTTTGGGCGCAGTTGTTTGTGGTCTCCAATCAACACGAGCTGTTTGACTGTGCTTGCAAGGGCTGTCAACACATGACTCTCGAGGATCTCCCCCGACTCCTCAATCAAGATAACGTCCGGCTTTGCTGCACGGATCAGGCGGTCGTATTTGGCCGCTCCAGTTGTGGTACACCCGATGATCTTCTTTTCGAGCACGGCGTTTGCGTCGGCTTCGCTAAACTGGAGGCTGATCTTTCTCTGCACGTCGTTGAAGTTTCGGCTGAGATCCTCGATGATCTGAAGATGCTCCTCGAGCATAGACCGTAGCCATTTGTTATGATGTTGCTCCCGAACCTGGGGCGGCATGTTCCACACAGTCTTTGCGGTGGGAGAAAGGCGCTTCAAAACCTTTCCTGGGCCTTGACCTCTGATCCACTGTAGGTAAAGATAGTCGGGACCGATTGCCTTGCCTCCCTTGCCCGCCTGAGCCCAGCCGTTGCTCTGCCTTGGAACCCTGAGGGCGTCAAGAAAGTCTTTGCCTCCGTCCTCGAATTCCAAATACTCTTCAATATCATGCCACTTAGGAGAGAAGCTCGTAAACCGTTGCAACGCCTCCTTTAGTCTCCCTCCCAGGCTTGCCGCTTCCTGCTTGAGAAGATTGATGATATCCCATCCTTGTTGGGAGCGGCGGAATTGCCTTCTTTGATCAGATAAGAGCAGGTGTGCGGTTTGCGGCGTGCATTTTGCCTTGGAGCCAATTCGAACGACGTCTTGGGCCGGGATCCCGGCTTTGAGGAGATCTTCCAAGAACTGATCGAGTGCGTGGTTGGTGTAACTCAAGACCAGGATACGAAGACCGGCCTCGAACAAACAGCGCGCAATCTGAGCCCCAATAAATGATTTTCCGGTCCCTGTTAACATTGAAGACACCAACATTAGTGACAAGTCTCATCATAATCGACAACGGGGCGGGGCACGTACCTGGGGGGCCTTGGATGAGGCTCACTGGGCTGGTCAGGGCGAGAAGCAGGGCGTTGAGTTGGGAATCGTCGACCTCAACTAATCTGCCCGTTGACTTTTTCACCAGTGCCACGACGCCGTCGGGATTTAGAGTCTTTGCAGCAACCTCAAGCCTAGAGATGAGCGGTCCCAGACCTTTCGGCGCCTGAAACCCGGAATCGGGGATAGCAGCGGGGTTGACTAGGAGGTCGAGCAGCGGCAAGTCCGTTATGCGTTGCAGTCCAAGTAAGACCGGCTCGTAGGCAAAGACTGGCGTGTCAACCAGAATGAACTGTACCAGCTCCCGTTTGGAAACCGAAAGGGCAAGAAGGGCGCGCCGAAGGGCTTCGTCATCGGTGAACTGGAGAGCCACGACAGGGGGCGATTGAGCGAGCATGTCGATGTCACGGTCGACAAAGGCAAACCCCAAAATCTCCTGCTCGCGGCACAAAACGCCAAACCCCTGATGCCTGAGAAAACTTGCATGATCTTTGAGGTACCTTTTTCGGGCTCCATCATCCTGCATATCGTTGAGAATAACGAGACCAGAAAAGCACTTCAGGAGCAGCGTGCACCGCTTGTATTTCCCCGACGTCTCATCTCCGATGTCAATACCAGCAGGGACGAAATGACCCAACACTAGGGCACTCCGTCTCCCCTTCTTTCTTCCCGTTGCCACTTGTATGTCTTCGCGTAGCTCTTTGCCTCCGGTGTCAGAATGACTTCACATGTTCGGGATAAGCAAGGTTTAGCTTACCGGCGAGCATATCTTCCCGTAGAAGACGGAAGTGATTATCCAGATGGGCCCGCGGACGCTTTTCAACTTCGATATCCATGATTTCCCGCGCTGTTTGGTAGTACGGTTGTTGTGTGGACAGAAACTCGTCGGTTGTCGGATAAATGTGGATTTTGCTGATATTGGCGAAGTCGTTGTCGTGTCGCCCACCGGGTCCGCCGGGTTCTTCTTTGTGGCCTGGAGAAGATCGAAGCTGAATGACCTTGTTGATCTTGTAGCCCAACTCGCGAGTCGTGTGGTCTTGGGACTTGACAAAACGCTGGTCGTCCGACACACACCGCACAAGACTTGAGACATCCACTTGCGCTTCTGGGCGGAGCGATATGAGCTCGAGTGCTAGCCAAGCAAACGAATAAAGGTCCCCTTCCGGAAGGCTACCCGAGTCGAATAAAGCGATTAAGGCGTTCAGCAGAGTCGGGGGGTTGGCAATAGCCAGGAGCACCTGCTCAAGATGCTGCCCATCGACGAGGGTTTTGATCCCGGGGTCTGAGAGGAATCGTAGAAAGGGCATGGTGTGGGTCGAGATGAACGCGGCGGATAGATCCGAGCGAACTGCCTCTCTCACGGCATTTAAGCCCGCAGGCTTAGACAAGAGTAGTTCCACACATCGACTCGGTGATGGTTGAGTGCGCAAGGCTTCGAGAAACAGCTGCCCTTCACGAGGGCTGCGTACGAAGCGCTTTCCATCAAGTGTCTCTAGAAACACGTGTCGAAGGCGGCCAACTCGCCGTGACGAATCCGGCGAAGACATGTTGGACTTGCCGTGGTGCTGGATTGGGGGATTAAGGATGGGATAGCAACGAGCAGGTTGGGTAAGAAGTCGCTAAACTGGTTGTGCGTTGCAAGATAATGCGAGTGTTTGGTTCAATGGCGGCATGGCGGGCTTTCCATTCATTATGAACGTCCAACTTGGTGTGACTCGAACGGGAGCCTCGTTGGTCAAGATTCCGACTGGAAACGCTGCCATTGTTTGACGAATCATTGCGGGGCTGTCGGCCTCAGCGCATCATGCGGGACGGATGCCTGAAAGTCTACTATCGAGTAAGAAGACAGAAAAATAACTTTCCCTTGCCGTGATTTGGGTAGCCGTGACAGCGGCCGCGCTGTTGGGCTGCGGCCCGAAAGAGGCCAGGCAGATGAACAGCAAACGGAGAGAGGGGGTGGTGCCAGCCGGGGTGATCATGCCGGAACACCCTGGTTCCTCCCATGTCGACATCAGACGTCTCCCACGATGGCCAAGATCGTGTTACACACACTTTACTTGAGAAGTAACACGGCCTAATACTCGAACCACAGGCAAACACAATTATTAACAATTTTGCAGACGCGGAAAGCCGGGCGATGGTTGACAAAACGGCAATTAGGGCCGGTGGTTACCCCTCACCAGGAAAGGGGCGCAGCCTGTGCAGCCCCCGCCTTAACACGCAGGCGAAACCAACAGAATCCCCAAGGCAGTGCATGAGGTTGACTTCGTGTTGGATATGATTCCACGGCTGCTCAATTATCCATACGCCATCAAACCTTAGGTACACAGCAACAACGCGTTGGATGCCTCAACCTCTCCTTGACGCTTCGGCCGGCCTCCTCGCATCAGGCGACTGCCCAGCGGACGATTCCTGATCCAACGATTCTCGAGGACTGCGTAACATGTTCCGCTCTGTCATTCTGCTAAGTTGCTTAACAATTCTAAGCCGTTGGTTTATTCCCTAGGTACCTAATTTAGTACTTCTCTCCGAGGGCTGTGGCATCCGCTGGAAACCAACACACAACGTGTACACTCAACGAAGGGGATCCCGCCTTGTGGGGTAAAATAGTGCAGGAAAGATATTTACCTCATAGGCTTCACATGTTCCATCTTGGTTGTTGTCAGAGTAACGTTGGCCAAATCATGACGCCTCAAAGTTGAGGGCAGGGTCACAGCATTCCCGCCTTCCACATACATGATTCGTGGGGGTTTCACAACCGGCCAGCTGCGGGCCTTAAGGAGACGTCGTTGCAGTGTTTGTTTCCACCCATGCTCTCGCCTCACTTCCCGATCGAATCCTGTGCAAGGTACTTTTTATGGATGGGCCTGCAACTCGGGTAGCATCAGATGAATCGCAACCCAAGGGTAACGCCACCGCTCCCCCCTCTTTCCCCCGCGATGCTGTGTAACTTGGAACCAACCGCAGCGACCTGCATAGAATTAAGATGTTCCAACATACCTACAACATAAGCGGATTATTTCAACCCGAAGCACATTGGTTTTACCTACTAAGTTACGGATAAACCCCCTATTCATAAATAGAGAAGGTAAATACATGTAGCTCTCACGCCATGGTAATAGGTATATATTCCTCATTCTCTCTGAGTAGGTGTTGCCCCATTAACTTGATCGATGCAATTCCGGGCATGTCTGTCATCACACCCTCCGGCTGGTAGGGTCATTCTGCCTACATACATTACCGCCGCATGCTGATATTGAAAAACCTTGACGGCTTCGCTTTGAGCGAATTTATCCCGGCTCGAGCAAAAAGAGCATCTCCAGGCGAGTGAGCGGGAGGTTGACGGTATGTTGCCGGCTTAGGGCACCTAACCGGTTCGATCCACAGCCCGCTCCTTCCCTCGAGCTGGTACCCAACCGCTCTTGCCTTCGAGAGCAGTCACTCTACGGCTTAAAGGAAGGAACGGCTTCAACAAAGAAGCCGCTTAAGGTCGTAAGCCGAAGAGAGACCCCTCGCTGCTGTGAGCGAATATGTCCCGGCTCGTGGATACCCGCCTTGCACCGCTAAGTAATATGTCACTTGAACTACCGTCTGTGGCGGAGAGTGGTCCCATGTTTCCAGGGAAGAGACTACGGGTAAGGATATCACAGAGTATACATCCATTTCAATCTTCATGATTCTCACTACGATCTCTGGCGGCGGGTGAGCGTGCTTCACAACAAGCGTAGCGGGCATCCTTGCCTCAGGATACATAAGATGCGTTTACTTGGCCGAGCTCGTCGCAGAACAGACACGGTAATGATGACACTCGTGTTGACATCAGTCAGGCTCGCCTAGTTCATGGGTTCGAAAGTAGCTGGGCCATTGGCATGTCATGCAGCGTCCCCGTTGAGGTATCTACATTCAAGCAATAAACAAAGGCAACTGATTGCAGGTGGTTTTATCTCCTGGTAATTGGATTCTCCGGATTTACGGTGGCTGAAACGGGGGGTTATACAATGAGCTAGTGTACACTATGTCATCACCCTTATAGAGGTAGGCTTCATAGCGTTTTGTCGTTTCTTCTTATGCAAGACATGCTGGATGACGTATATCGGAGTCATGTAGCAAAATAAACCTAGCAATCCTCGTTTTAGACCAGACCTATTCTGAAATCCTCACAAAGCACACCTGTATGATGGAAACAGGCTATGAATACCTTTATGAAACTAGTTGGTCTTATACAATGAACCGTCGACACCCGACTAAGTCGAGGTTCTCGAAGTTGACCCCCAGAAGATCCTGTGAACGTGGAGAGGCACGATTGGGAACATGTATGAAGAAAGGTCAGATACCTCATATATCTC